GAATGAGACAAAAATGATAAATTCTGTAAAATAGGATCTTTAGTGAGTTAGGGTTGTTTTTAAAAACTTTTTTTTTCCGAGAAGAGGAAGTGTATCAAGTAATCTTGTTTTTTTAAGAGACTTGAAAGAGGAAGGATGGGTGTCTTTGCAGCTAGGGATATGCATTTCCATCAGTCTCAAAATAATTATTGAATCTCACAGTAAGTATCTAAAGGAAGTGTGTAACTGATAGTTTTACTCTTAGTAGGCAATGTTAACTTACACTAAGCACTGATTATCCCTGCTTGTATAGTATGCATATGATTTATATTCCTATTCCCGGGTAGTTACTAGAAGAAATTGTTTTCCAAGAAACAAGCAATAAATGCTAAAAAAAACCTAATAATTTAAAACTTCTGTCACCTGGCATTCCCATATTTATGATTAAAAAAAATGGAATTTATTGGGTAAAAGTACCTTTGGTACCTTTGGTAGATTTTCTTCTGGGCTCTGAGGTTGAGTGCAGTCCACTAGCAGGCATTGCTCAGCAGATAGCACTGCTACTTTTTTTGAAAAAGAGCAAGTAATTTCCAGTTACCCTGCTCTAAAAATCCACACAGAGACAGTGTGCTGTTTCTAGAAGAGGTTTTTCAGATTAGTATCTGAACATAGTGTTTTGCTTTCTTTTTTTCCTGCTTGCAGAACATTTTTTTTTAAGACTAGGAAGTTTGCCATTGTTTCCTCTGAAGCTGAATGTCAGATCTGGGTGATCTGTAGCCTTTCAGGCATCAGGTATCATCCAAACTTGGACAAATGTTTCAATACATGGCATGCCTGGGCAGGTCTGTCTATCCCTACTTGATCATGCCCATGTTTCCTTCCTCTGAGTGGAATTATCCTGTGAGGATAAGATTTAATTGCAGAATAAGTCTGGAGAAGCTTGTATTTTTCCACTGTTTACTGTGGAAGCATTCAGATATCCTGAATACTGTTCCTATCACGGCAAGGTAGATCTCTCACTCCAAGAAGAGAGGGAGGGCCCGAAGAAACATAAGGATCYGCTAACTAGAGGGCGTGTCTGGAGTGCACTCAGAAGGGCAAATTGCAGGTCCCAAGCTAACTCCTTTAGCGCAAGGATACATAAGAAAGCAAGGTCAAGGATGAGTATGAGTCAGAGGGCTTCAACAAAGCATGTGGGAAAGAGTTGAACTTGAGTATGTGAATGAAGGAGTGATAGGAATGGTAGTTTACTTAAAACAGCAAAGAAATTCCTGGTCTTTGGTTCCTGCCTGGAATATGCAAAATACCCTTTCCATCTTAAAAGCATCTTACTCACCTATTACTACAGACCTTTTGATTGTTTGTTTCTCTTTTTTTTTGTTTGTTTGTTTGTTTTTTTGMTCTCCAGATGCGAATAAAACAGCTTCCTGCTTATGGTCATATCAGACAATTAGCTGTAAAGCTTAAGGGAACAACAATAAGAGGAACAAATTTAACATTAAATTTCCAGCCTCATAAATTCTTTGCTTATTAAGAAATAACTAGAACTCAGCACTATTCATTCTCAATACACTCTGCAAATAATGCCTAGTTATTAACTTTGTGTTTGGGATTCACTAGTACTTTCTTTTGCTGGAGCTCACTTTTTTGACTGATCACTACAGTTAGCCATACCACAACCCTGAACTGAGTTTTCTAGGCAAAAGTAAACTTTGCAAAGGCCTTTCATGAACATTTCCAGGGATCCAGGCAAGGGTTAACAGTATATATCTGAAAATTTCTGTGTAGGGACTTTTGGCAATTAAAGGACAAATAACAACTTTTTTATTCCTGTTATGCACATGCTGTATCTGTTAATCCATGACATTGAGCTGTCTCAAACTGAGATTGCCCCATTGTTTGACTCCTGAGTTAGTGCCCAATGATAGTTCTGGTCTAGGGAAATGATGTTTTATCCTTTATGAGGGACAGACTTGTGTCTGGGATGTTTTCCAGGGGATTTCTTAGAGATGCTTCTCTAAGCTGGTCTTGGCTGGATTTTGCTGGAGGAATATAGCATGGAGAAAATGGAGATTCTGTATCTGTATAAATGTGGCATTTTGGTAGGGAGTGAGATCACACATTGCAGATATAGCATGATATGTACTTTTGTCCTGTGCTCTGCATGGTTTCCCCACATGAGTATGCGCTACAGAGTTAGTAGGGAGCAGAGACAAGATGATTCTGGGGTGCTCAGGCCAGGACTGCTATGCACCATCTCACAAGAGCGCATTCCTGTAGCTGAGAACTGGAAAGAGCTGCCTGTGCTTACATTGCTGTGTGGGTTATGGTGAGCACAGGCAGAAAACATAATTTAAACTTTCTGCTTTAGAAGTTTCCATTTTTCTCCTGTACCAGAAGGGCACAAAGCACAGGGCACAACGAGTGTATATTATAAATATGGGGCAGTGGATGCTGTTTGTGTGGCCTCTCCCATTTTCAGCCTTAGCCTTCTGCATGTACGTTCCTCTGAAAGCCTGAAAGCCCATTTGCACACACAGCAAATTGCTTTCCTGTTAAGGTCATTTCTTTAAGAACTGGGGCAGGAGTCAAAGGACACTTTCAAGAAAACACAGAGGATCATCGCTTCACAGAGACAGGATGTTTCCTGTCTGTATTTGTTGTGCTTTTCTCAGAGAACTAAATCCTGTTGCCCTTAATCAGTTCTTGCAAAGTCCTCATTATCATCAAGAACAGGATTTGCTTAAATTTTGCCAGACTAAGTAGTAAAAGTTCCTTTTTAGCAAACAAGTAGATTAGTCTAAGATGCTTTACCAGAAAGGACTGATATAGGGAATACCTTAGCGTGCACGACAAGTACACTTTACACTTTTCTGCCTTCTTTTTCATAATGTAAGGATAGTAATTTCGAGAAGAGACAAAGAAAGGCTTCTCATAATTTCAGTGAGCATTGAAGTTATTTAAATGGCCAGCTAGACACCCTTTTAGACTCTCAAGGGTCTCCTGGGGTTTCTTCAGAAGGATATGGTGCTCAATTCATGTTGTATCATCGGCCTCATGCAGATTTCTGAAYTTCTCTGCACATTTAGTATGAAATAAAACACCTCTATTCAGCTAATCAAAACACCATCCATACACCAGTGTCTAGATTTAATTCATCTGGGATAATCACCAGTATAAATAAGCAACAGGCCCTATATAATTACAATTGTTTTACATATTGTTTCACATTCCTTCAAAGAAAACACTACACAATAAATGTCCCGAATCTGATATGATACCTCTCTTCCATGAGTAGCATAGGAATCTAAGACACTCTCTCCACTTGGCATGCGAGAGTGTGGCTCACATTTTTGTGGAGGATTGGACACATCCCCTTTGAATACTGGCTAATGCCCTAATAATATAAATAATATAAACTTATWATGTAAACTTGCCTTGAGCTGATGTGTCACACTTGTAGTGAAAGCAAAACTTTAAGACTTTCAGCCCCTATAAAATAAATGCACAAATATTACTTGATTTATATCACATAATTCTTTAACTTTATTCAGAGAATTCATTTGTTTTTTGTAACATGCAGCATGTAACATGCAGCAGGATGAGTTATTTTCTCCGACCTCTACTTTTACGCAATATTTACTCCAATAGACACTGCGTCCTTTCCAGAAAGTTTCCCTTCTCCAGTATGTAACGTGGATTTGTCAGGGTATGCACATTAAAGGGCAGTAACTGCAGCAAACTAGCTGGGTGTGGTAACTGTCAGTGTGCTGTCAAGATATTCCTGTCCCCAGAGAGGCTGTTGGCACTCAGTGCAGAAAAGGACCTCCTCCCTTGGCCCAAGCCCTTAAATACACACACGCAGCAAAGGCTGCAGGATGCATCAGGTCCCTTTGACCTCTCTATCCAAGACTATTTCCATTTCTTCTATCAAAGAAACATTTGCAAATGTTTCACTAAATATTAAGTTGCTGCATGTACATACACAATATATTTGAAGCCAAASTAGGAAAATAAATGCAATACATAAAAGAAATCAACTTTTCTTCCTGTTATGGCTGGAAAGAATGTTACTGTTTCCCTTCTCCTTACCCTGAACATCAGAAGTAAAGGGAAATGTCTGTTATTTTCGAAGAGCTGATTATAGGAGACCCGTGTTTCCCTTCAGCTATTTGAATCACCAAAATGTGTAACAGTCTTTAAAAGCAACTGTTTTAAGCTGGCTTATATCTGTGATTTTCAGAGGCGTTCCGTGACTATTTAATTCTGGTGGTTCTATTTTTCAAAAGGAACTTCGTTGATTGATTAAAGCTGATTCTTATATAAAAAAGTCACTCTACTCCTGCCCCTGACTTGTTATTATCCTTTAGAAAATAATATTTTTGAGCTGTGGTTCTTGTTCTAGTCTATTAGAGCAGTGAGTAAACTAACATGCAAATCATCTTTAACTCCAAATTAATCCAAATTCATTAAAGAGTTGAAAAATATATTTTCAAATATATGTTATTATGTATGTCCAAAATATTTATTACCAATTCCTATAGCTAAAAAATAAACTTTTATAGTATTTCATGTATAAATATACACGTGGTTCGTGATCTCTACTTAGGAAACCTGTTAAACTCTTAAAAGACATAAATAGCACCAYTACACCAAAAACCTTGTGATTAACTGACATGCTGTCAGGTGTATATATAAGTGCTGAGCTATCCAAGCAGTTACTCACTTCAGTGGACCAACACTTTCCTTGGGCTCCTGCATCAAATGAAGCTTTGCTTGTTCAGGAGGCTTAATTCATCTGCAGAGAATAGGAAAGCACTGAAGAAACAACCCCTTCTGTTTATGGCAAATGCAATACATCATACAGACAGCATAAAATAATAGTTTTTCTTTTAATCTGCATAAAAGCTGTGCAAGACACCATCCAGGGAAATGCTGGGTGAAAAARCGTCTCTGGTGATTTGAATAACAATATACTTAAACTCTGCATAAAAATAATCACTTGCTGATTTTATTCCTAGGTAAAGTGGAAGCAGCCCTGGATCTGATCCTGATCAATTCATTCCCTCTGGTGGGCAACTCAGAGACATCCCTCATCTGCATCACCTCCAAATGGCGCTCCCGTGAGTCTATCACGATAGATCGAGACCAGGAGGATGTCACGAACCAGCACCGAGAGCCCCTGGAAGTTAATGAAGACTCCAGGAGAGCAACAGCCAAAACAGTGGTGTGGAAAAGGGAGCAGGCCAGTGAAACTATTGGAGCATACTACTGTGAAGGAAAACTCAAGGACGAGGTGACAAGGATACATACTATGAAGATGCCGCTAGGAGGTAGTGTGTTACCCTTGGTTGGGAGAATTAGTGCAAAAGTGGCTCCAATGACAAGTTAAATAAAAATAGACCTGACTCAAGCCCAACTTCCCTTCCCTCTCCTGCTTTTCACCCTACCAACTTTTTTTTTTTTTTTTTTTTAAATTATTTTCTCCCTAAAGTGCAGGGAGGGTTGGTTGATAGTAGCTAGTCATTTCCTTATGGAAGTTAGTCAGACATACGTAGGTTTTCTGCCTGCATCTGGCTATTGCCACGGACACAAAGGCAGGTGGTAAATAAAGTGAGCACAGTTGTTCTTGCCTCCCTAATGCCATTAAACAAAACATATGGTGCATATGGTTCAGATGCTCAGTGAAGCTGCAGATTGACAACACTGGATCTGCACAGAATGTGTCAGCAAGAGAAGCAAATCCAGCACAGCACTTATAAAAAGGCCAAAAATGCTTCTCTGAATCTAAGAAAGTTATCCATAATGATCCACTATGGATTTCACTATTGATTATTTCATTGATTTTTGGTTGTAAGGCTATGAAGGCTGTTTGTAGGAAACCAAAACCAGCAGGGAGATAATAAGGCCAGAATTGCATTACCAGACTTTACTAGGCGTCAAGGCTGAGTTTCAGAGGAAAGAGATCACTTAAGTGTAAGAAATTTGTGATAATTATCTGCAAAGAAAAAAATTTCCAAACTGCAACTAATCTTTAGCAGCATTTATTATAGTATGAAGTTTTGCAGCATGGAGGCTGGTCATGAGGAAACTGTCCATTTTTACCCCTATCTTCTTCTTAAACTTCTAGTATGACAAACTGTTGATRTCTCCTAAAACCAGGCAGAAATCTTAGAGAAAGAGGCTTCCTCTGAGCCAAAGCTGCTCTCCATTTGTTTCTTTTCATATGGAAATGTTACAAGCAAGGTGAACAGGACAAAAAGATTTTTCTTTGGCTTCTGGTTTCTCTAATCAAATGAGGAGGGTTGGGTCAGACCCAAGAAGGGTCTGTTTTCCTAACCAGGAATAACATAATATTCATGCCAGCAGTAGGTAGGCTTCTGTGAGTCATTTCTGGGTCCTCAATCTCTTCCTCAGCTTTTTGTGGAAAAAGCTTTAGATGACACGATTTGAGCTAGCAATTCATCGGCAAATGTGCTTGTACTAATTGTTCTGGATGGGTGAGAAAGAGGTGTGACAGAAATTCTCAAAGCTATTAAAGTCCTTAGAAAGAGGAAGAAGAGGTCAGCGAAGGACTGTGAGCCTTGGCACACCAACATRGTTGGAAAACAGGCCTTTTCCACCTTTACTGCTGTAGTTTGAACATTATTGCAACAGCAGAGCATGTTTTTCAAAACAAAAATATTGAGCAAGAGTTGAAATGTTCAGTTTCCCTTTCAAGACAAAAGAGACACAGGAAGAAGTAGCTCTTCTGAAATTCTAGCYACTGTTTTATGTCCTGAGGCTACTAATAAGCTACTAATTTAGTCAAAAGCATTAAATACTTGGGTAATCTCACTGGCTTTAGTGAGATTTGTCATCCGCCTAAGTCTGTATAAATTACCAGATTCGCAGGAAAAACGAAGATTTTTTTTCCTCATATAACATTAAAATGTAAAAGTATACATATACTTGAGTTTCTCTTATAGAAACTCTTTACAGCAGGCAAAAGGACAATAATAGAAATATTAATGTAACAAAGTCTTGGCATTTATCCTGCGGCAAAATTCAYGATGTCTTTATAAGGAATTGTCATATTCTAGATGTGAAAACACAAAATATAACTTGTAATCTAAAAATACTTTGGAACTGAGCACAGGAGGGGATGTGGATTCTATTTCATTGGAACAATGCTGTGAAAAAAATGTCCTGTGGATAAGCTAAACAACATATAAAGAAAACAAAATAAGAAGACAAAAGTTATCTCATTAAAAAACATAATAGTACCTCACTAAATCTGAGTGAGGTACTTGAGGTACTTGCAAAAATCACTGCAGATGAAACACTTAGAATTATTTGTAATTAACAACTGATTTGGGGGAAAGCTGTTCAATTTTTATATCCTTAAATCACGGAGCATTTTGCCACGAACCATAAACAACTATCAACTCAGGTATTCATGGCAAATTAGAACTTCTCTCCTTTTTTTTTTTTTTTTTTTTTTTTTTTTGGTATGTTTCCTTATTTAACTATTCTGTACTAGGAATTTTTTTAGGATTGTCTAAGATACAAGTCCGGATCGTGGTGCCTAGGTAATGTCAGTAGACCCCCAGTGCTTATCATCATGCTGGAAGAGTCTTGCTGAAACTAACTGGATGGCCCTCAGAAACAAACTTGAGAAACTGCATACCAGAGGCTCAGAACATAAACACCACTTTACTCTGTGCAGTTGCACCAAGAACGGAAGTTCCTTTTGCAAAGAATTTTCCATAATTGTCTTATTTCCAATTAGAAATGAAAATGTTAAAATTCTCCAGGAATGAAAATCCTCATAGAGAGGTTGGATTGATTGAAATGTCTTCACTTTTTTTCCTCATTTTTTCCTTATTTGATATTATATCACAAAATATTTTTATAATGAAAATAGTATTTTAAATAGCAATATTAAAATTTTATTTCTTCTCATTTTATAATAATATCATACTTATTTTTCTCAGAGTTTAAGAAATRGCACTGCAGAAAAACCACTTTCAGCTCCATAAGTAGTTATTTCAACTTTCATGTAACATCTACTTATTTTTATAGTTCTACTGAACATTTAAAATAACGGAAATCTAATTCTTGTTTCTGCCCTTCTTTATTGTCCTATTTCTATGATTTTTTTCAAAACCAAATTTCAGCCACAGAACTCCACATTTGTTTTCTGCAAATACTGGGGGGTGGGGGAAGTGTGACTGCAGATAAATGAAAAAAAAAGTACAATAAAATTATGCCACAATATATGGTTTTATATGTGTTTATAAAATAACATATGTGTTGTAAAAGAAATGTGACCTGTAAAAACAGGGCCTGAGGAAGTAAAGAGCCAAGAATAGGAATTTTTGAAGGATTTGCTCCAACTGAGCTTCAGATGAGACATTTTGTCTGAAAAGTCCCAATCGTTTCTGGGAAGGAAAGTGACAGCAGTGCTGAAGGGATTCCTGGTATGTGAACAAGAATATGATGCCATAGGGACTTGATAAAGAGGAAGTTCCTCTCTTGTGTAGGAYGAGCTCTGAGGCTCAACACTTTCACACACAGAAAAGGGGAAAGGACCTGGTAGAAATGAGTGCTTGGGGTAATCCAAGAAAAAGGGAAAGGAAGAAAAAGAACAAAAAGGCCTTTTTTTTTGTTCATGTTTTTGTTAGTGCTTTCCTGAAAGAACAAATGTATAAAAAGTGTGTTCTCTCAGAGAAAGAGCTGAATAATTTGGAGAATGAATATTATATATTTCAGGAAGATATTTATTTATTTATTCATTCATTCATTTATTTTTTCTTGCCACACTGTTTATCAGTTACATTATGGCTTAAAAATTCTGGAGTTAAAACTGTTTAGAATGTCCTGAAGTTTGCTTTCTGTCAAAAACAACAACAAACCAATCCACAAATTCATCCTGAAATTTTCCATTTAAGTGTCTTTAACGTCTTTACCTTGATTTAAAATGATAAGTTGAAATTTAGTTATTTTTCATTGACTCAAAACAATACTTTATTTTTCTTTTTGAAATTTTTATTCCACTTCCTAGGATGCTTTCTGATTTTTCCCCCATCACTGGTAATGACATGGAAAATGCAAAAATCTGGGAAAATCCCTTTCTCTATTGCTTTCATAAAAAAAAACAAAGAAAAAAAGAACTAAAAATGAATAGATTAAAATTACTAGTTGGAAAATTGAAAAATGGTCTGGRATAGACAGTCCTTCCCAGAATATTTTTATTTTAATTAAGTCACATTTTTATCCTTTTATTTTTGTGCCTGTGAATATATTTTGCTCTTTTATTATCAGTGCAGGCTAATGCACTCAGTATTTGTATGAGGCATGGCGAGCTAACATGAGCACAGGACTGCCCTTAACTGCATCTCCCCTTAACTGCATCCCCTGCCAGCCCCACAACACTGCGGTCTCCTGCATTGTGTGGACTGCTCCACATGATAAAGCTGGCACTTAAATGAACCAGCTACTAGTCTGCTAAGAACAATTTGATCCCTACAATACTTTGTCCAGTACCTTATCCAGAGTGTTTTTAAAATGTCTCAAGTGTGAAAAAGCGTGGAAAAGTATTGCACAGMCAATTAGGCTTCCCAACTTCACAGCCAACTAGTCTGTGAAGCCTGTCAAGTCAACTAGGCTTCCCAACTAGGAAGGGTTTCAGTTAGTCAGACAAATTGCTCCTAATTTTATGCCCCAGGCTGGAGCTGCATCCTGTTGTCACAAGGTATAGATGACTCCTCCATCCCTGCAACGGCGTAAGTTGAGGTTGCTGCTGCTGAAAGGGTCAATGTATGTTATTGATCCCATACTTCACTTTCATGTTCTGATTTCAGCTTCATTCCACCCAGTGGCCTTAACTGTTACAGCAAACAAGGGAGAGCATGTGAATATTTCCTTCATCAGAATGGCAGCTAAAGAGGAAGATGCAGTGATCTACAAAAATGGTAACTGAGCTCTCCTCCTGTCTTCTCTCTTCTCCTTTTCTAGCTGTCATTCTCTTAGGCAAGAGTCCACATAACTGCATTTAAATCATTGCTGATGATGCCCTTACAGTAAAAATGGAAGAGACATGATTTCTTCTGCATTTAATGATCCTTAACAGAAACATTTGTCATAACCAAGTATTGAGCAGATACTTCTATACCTGTTCTTCCTCCAGAATGACAAATCCAATTTTTGAGGCTTSATTTTGTCGCTCAAATCTTTGAGGAGTTCCAGTCAGAACTTTTAATTTGATAAATAATGTGAAACAGGATTATCAAATGGCTCCTAGTGAAAGAGTAATAACTGAGGGATGCTCTGATAATGTTTGAAATTATGGAATATCTAGAGATAGAGACCAGGATAAGAAAGAGAGGGTCCAAAGTGAAGTGGAGATGAGCAAGTATGGTTAAATAAATAAGAGGATTGAAGGTTCCACTTACATTCATACAAGTTACAGTCTTGTATGTATATACTTGTCTGGCCAACATCTGCCCTGTAGTTTGTCCTATCTTGTTAAACTCCATTCCTAACCATTTTCCTTAGTGAATATTGTATTTGTCCGTGAGCATGTGCATGATCCACTAATGATATTCACGCCTAGCAGTCAGGACGGGAACAGGTTTGAGTTACAGCAACTATAGACAGATGATAGTGGTCATGGGATCCCCACTAGTGAATTTCAAGCCAGGATRGCCATCAAGAAGGATGAGAGGTCTGAGACTCAGCTAACAGAGAGATCAGAGACCCAGGGTAGCTACTGGAAAAAGTTGTTACTGAAGGTGTGACTTGTGAGATCTGCTAGCAAGTCTAGAGCCTGATTAGTTGGCAAGTAAGAGCAGAATCAGGCAACTGGTTCTGCTGACATGTGCACAAGTGCTCTGTGCATTTGCAGTGTGTGGGAAGGAACACGTCTCCTGTATGTGTTGCACTGTTGGTGGCTGGCTTGTTCTGTACAGTGCGTGTGTGTGTGTGTATGTGCACATGTGTGTTCTGGTGATACCTGCTCAGCCCCACTGCTGGGCTTGGTACCAGCCTTGTCCTAGCAGGCTGAGAGGGGAAGACTCCCATAGGTCCTGAAGTTTCTGACACTGAATTCAATTTATCCTTGTTAGCAAACAACCTTAAAATCTTGTTACTCTACTAGTGATCAAGTGGGCTGGAGTTTGATTGAATGCTTTTGAATACTGTTGCTTTAGCAAGCACATATGACTGGTTTCAGCAAGGCTAGAATAATACTGAGAAGCCGACTAACTGAAAAAATTGAAGAGATGGTAGAAACATATCAATTCTGGAAAAAAAAAATAAAATCATACTATGCTCTTCCAGCTTTGGTCTGGCTAGTAAATCTCTGGGTTATTGAGATTAAATAAGACATGATGAGCTTTTCYTATTTGTTACCATTCAGCCTCAGTAGTCTTGTGGTTCTCATAGTAGTCTTGTGGTTCTTGTCAACCCTCACTTCCAAAAAGGCCAAGAAACAAAATTATTTTTTTTCTTTCTCACTACGTTCTTAACAACAGCCTTGCAAAGTAATGCTTAACTTATTATTTGTTCCTATCATCCACTCAGTCTACTCAAGATTTTGCCTTGCTTTTACTTGCTCTTCTCCAAACATTAGAAACTGGAGTATGGCTAAAGAACCATCAGCAATTCCTACTTTCCTCAGTAATTCCTCTGACTGTCAAAGTTGAATGATCTGTCTGTTGTGCCTGTGTGATCTTTTCCCAGGTTCTTTCATTCACTCTGTGCCCAGGCACGAAGTGCCAGGTGAGCTGGAAGTGTCCTGTTCTCACGTTCAACCACAGGATGCAGGGGTATACTCTGCCAGATACATAGGAGGAAACCTCTTTACTTCTGCTTATACAAGGCTTATTGTAAGACGTAAGTTTCATTATTTCATGCTGATGATTAATTATTTGAAGTTGTAAAAAATCTAAGATGAGACTGCTACTTTCCTCTGTTCGTTCTTTTAATATAAGCTGCCATCATACTACATCTGAAGAAATTTTCAGTTTATTCAAATCATCTATCTAGGAACAGGACAAATAGCTCTTTACCCAGCATTTTAACTTTTTGAATGTTGAGTAAGTATGAAAAATAAGAAGAGATACAAGCTTCCATAAATATCAGAAAATAGGTTTTTTAAATGGTTTCTTCCTCTATAATGGGTTGAATCTAAACAACTCCACTTGCAATATTTTCATTTCACAAACCATCACAGGTCATGCTATTGTGACAGTTTTATCATAGGTAAACAAGATTATATTCTCTTAACTTGAATAGATAGGTGAAAGAAATAATGTGAAATATTCTCTTCAAAGCTGTATATTATGTATGTATATTATCTATTTTTGACAGTAAAACATATTTTATTTGCTGGCATCCACAGGATGTTTCTAGGATTTGCAAAGGAACCAACGTAAGCCCCAAGCTTGGATTTTGGATCTGTTGCCAAACTGCTAGATAAAATGGTCTGGGTTCTGCTGCCTGCTCTAAGGCTGAGCTGCACAGCAGACAACATATCCATAAGCTCTGCTCGCTGCACTCCGCAGCACCAAGCCCTTGTCCAGCTCATCTATTCGTAGCCCTTTTCAGGCCCCGTTTGGCCCGGTTTGGCTGAGCTCTGCAGAACAAGCTTAGAATAAACAGAATGGATGTTCACAGGCCACTGCTCAAAAATGTGCCCTGGCTTTCTTTGTCTTACTATTACAGACAGCCTGAGGGTTTACCAAGGCTTTCTCCCTAAGTACCCACATTTAAGAGTTTTGTTCGGGAGGGAAGACGAAAAGGATCTCTAAATGCTATAAAGACTGAAGTAATCCACACTGAAATCTGAAAATGTTCCAAGTCTGGTACTCCAGTTTAAACGATGCTGCCTCAGGGTTTTCCATATTTTCGCCTCCCTAGTCCTGGCTTTACATTATATGATGTTAGAAAGATTTCTGAAAATAAAATACTGAAAATTTTTGAGTCCTCTCAGCACATTTTAACTTCAAAAGCAAATGAGTGAATTTTGTATTCTGGAGGTATAGATCTAGCATTTGTGGCATGGGATCGTATGTTCTTGTAACAAAGTTTAAATTCTGAGCTTAGCTTTTATTAAATCAATGTCAAAACTTGCATTGACAGGATTAATGCTAGTAATATCTTTTTGTTTTATTAAAAAAATAGAAAAATATATAACAGGCACTASAATTGGCATTTATCTGATTGTTCCTCATTCATCCAGAAAGAGTTGATTGATCATTAAGATCCAGTGAAGACAGGAAAGATGCAAAAGAGATTAAACTGACTTATTGTACTTTAAAGAAAAATCTTGTTACAGAATGTCATGGCTTGCCAGAGGCTATTGCAATACCTGTGATGCCAAGCGCAGACCCAGTGGTGAATATTAGCTAGTTTTACGTGAAATGACACCACAGTGTACTGGGATTTTTTACAGATCTTGGATCGATGTTACAAGAAAAAAGAATATTAAGCTTAAGATTTTTGCCACCTTTTAAATTAGTTTTTCCAAATAAAAAGAATATTTCTAGTTTCAAAAAGTGAAGACAGTTTCTTCCATGAAGAGTATGTATGAAAACTATTGAAGTTAGCTAACACTAATATATACTACGAAAATATTTTATTCCAAAAATGGAGGCACGTCGCAAAATGTAAAAAGTACCTCCTTATAGTAGGTAAACTGTGCAGGGTCTTGAGAGTACATATGGATCATTTTGGTTTACATTTTACTATTTATCTTAATCAGAAAGAATTATACTGGTTAACTAGTTATTGAACAAACAAGCAACAAATATGCCCTTATACTTTTGCATAAAAGGATGTGAAGCTCAGAAATGGGGCCCTTCCTGTAGCTTCCACTGCCCCGCTTGCATGAATAATGGTGTATGTCATGAAGACACTGGAGAATGCATCTGTCCTCCTGGTTTTATGGGAAAAACATGTGAGAAAGGTAAGAAAACATTCTTTTACAGATTTCTTATTAATTTGCACACAGTAATGAAGATTACTTACTTGCATTTAGGGGCAAGCACCATATATCCCTGCCCAATTTCTGTTAGTGAATGTCTATTATTTTTGATTATTAAGTAACTGGAGCAGATGCCACATTGCACTAACCTCTCCAAGCAGATTCTGGGTCTTGATGCTAAATATGTATCTTAATAGACTGTATTAGTACTGAAGTACTTACTCTAGCTGTTGGAATAATTTGACTTTTGAAACACACTAATGTAGTACTAATCATAACAGAAAAGAAAAAAACTTGAGCTGGGCCTTTGACATGTACCCGTCTTTGAGAAAGTGTTAGTTTCGTGGTGCTGTTCTTTCAGTCTATCTAAATAGATACAGAAAGAGGAAAAGAGGATTTACTGCTGAAAAATTATCTCGAAATGCCAAAAGCAATATGTGTTTTGCTGTTGGATACTCATATGAAAGAAAGCTGTGTTTCCTGCTGCTGCCTGAACTTACCCTTGTGTAGCAGTGGTTTATCCTGTTATGTATAATAATAGTCCTAATACTTTTTTTTTTTTTTTCATTTTACTTTGCCTTTAGTATTGTCTAGAGCTGCCTGAATGGAAGCCTTAGTGCTTTTCCAAACTTAATACTGTTGGGACATTGTTCCCCTCTCTCTTCCACAGCTTGTGGACCAAATACATTCGGCAGAACGTGTGAGGAGAGCTGTAAAGAAAACTCTGACTGCAGGAATTATATGTTCTGCCTACCAGATCCTTATGGTTGTTCTTGTGCCTCAGGATGGATGGGACTGGAATGTGACAAAGGTAAAGTTAAGGGTACAGTGAGGGCTGAAGAGACGGTAATATGCTAGACTTGAAAAATACAGAAGAGAAGTAATAAAGGAAGGTAAATTCGGTATTTTTCCCATTATGCAAAAAAACAAACAGAAAAAAAAGAGAGACAAAGAGGATAATATTGATTTACTACACAGGAGTATTTTGGTGCTCGTAAGAGGGATACAATAAAGTTGCAAATCATTCAGTTTATTCTGCAAAATGCATTAATGTTCTGGTGAGATTTTTTTTCTTTAACAGCTACAGTCCTGATGATTTCTACAAGTCAAAATGAGTGATATAGTGTCCACTGCTGCACAATGCTGAGCGTAATCAGTCTCATTCATGTTGATCAGCTGACAATCACCTTGGGACATGGATTAAATCCTTATTTATGGGGATGTATGGTCTTGCTCAGTGGTGCTGTAACTAAAATGACACTGCCTTGGTGTGTCCAAACAAAAGATGAAATGAAACAACGTTTTATTTTTTGATTAAAGATAGTTCTATGCCAGCATCTAGCCTAAAAATGACAGGCACAGACACAGACACAAATATGCCTCCTCCTTTTTTTTTTTTTTTTTTTTTTTTAATTCTAGTAACTTCTCAGGATCTCTTGTAGATGATTTAACATTAATACGTGCAGTTACAGCCCAGATAGGGGAAGGAAGCCCTATTAGAGTATTGATTCATGAGACAGATAGATTGATAGTTGATAAGGATATATTGAAAACTGGTATCTTTATACTAACTAGGAACATACTTATTTGCAGAATGCAAACCTGGCTTTTATGGGTCTGATTGCAAACTCAAATGTAATTGTCACAATCGAGGAACGTGTGACAGATTCAAGGGCTGCATCTGCTCCTTTGGCTGGCATGGTCTGCAATGTGAGAAAGAAGGTAAAGCAAGGTAACACGGTAGTAAATGGCTTTTCCCAGTGTGATTGAAACTGTTCTTTATGCTGGTATAGCATTTCTACTTGAGGGTGGTGTCTGTGAATGGCCTGTTATGTTCCAAGGGTCCAGACACATCCACATTCTTGCTTCTATTGCAGTGCAGTGTTTTCAAGCACCATAACGCTAGTTTGCAACAGATGCATCTGACACCATTGCTTTTTGTATGGAATAGCTGCCATGTTATGTGTACAGTAGCTGGATTGTGCCTGCGTAGAATGACAGACAGAGCAAAAAAGAGGGGAAGGGGACACAAGGTAAGACCAAGTAAGATGATGGAAAGGAAGGGAAGGCAAGGCGAAGAAAAGAAAAGCCCACAGGCCTTATGTTTCTTCTCACAACCATTTTACCTTGGTATAATAGTGCTATCTTTGGCAAACGTCATGCTTTTTTACTTTCATGTAAGTGCAGGGAGAACCAAACACCTAAGGTGTCTATGTTGTCCAGTGTATGTTCTTATTTTGTGCCTACCTCTGTTTTAGAGCCTCCTTTGATCAKTTCTGATTGAAGGATGACCCTGTAAATACTGTATACCTTCTGTAGGTTCAGCAGATCTTTCACCTCAGATAGAAAACTTACTAGATCCTGTGGAACTCAATTCTGGTGTAGAGTTCAAGCCTTCCTGTATAGCTACAGGCATGCCACTTCCCAAATCTGAAGAATTTAAACTGCTGAAACAAGATGGAACTGTCCTTAAGGTAGGTTCCTGATCAATTATTTTCTATTATTTCTGACATTCACTGCCTCTTTTTGTAATTAGTGTCATTGCAGCAGAAAATGTGCAATTTCAGTGTGACCTGAGAGGACCATATTGGTCACTATTTACTGTTCTTTGTTATATTCCTGCTCAAAAAGGTTAAAACACAGCAAGAAGCATCATGACTTAAAGGGCCACCCACAAACCAAGCAAAATAATAATCAGCTGTTTATGGGCAGCACATATGGTATATACTGTTCAGACACTAAGAGTGCAATTGTTCTCAAAAGTGAGAACAGAAAGAAGTCTTGATTTTTGGATAAAATAMAAATATGACCATTGAAACACCTAGTACTAGCTCCTTTGTACAATATAGTGAGCTAGTRAAAATGAAAACATTGAAATTATTAAGCAGAGTGGAAACTAATTATTGTCTGAAAAACTCAAGGATTATTCAGTCAGCCTTGTGGATCAAAGATACATTTGACATACAAACACCAAAAAAAGCAATTGTGAAGCTGTTCATTTAAATGGATGGAATTGAAATGTAGGGTAAAACCTAGAAGTCAGTGGAGGAGGTTCTTTGTCAACAGCAAATGGACTTAGGAACATAAAAAGCATATGGAATTAACATGGTGGGGGCTGTCTTCTGACTTCACTAACTAATGGATAAGTTCCTAAGCTGTGAGAAAAGTGACWTGAAGACTTCTTGAAATGATGGTATTTTTCAGATCATGTATATTTTGTCATTTCAGCCTTCCCTAATGGTCACTGGTAATCGGTCTGAGGCTGTGTTTACTATCAATCGAATCCAGCCCCGTGATACAGGAGTCTGGGTCTGCAGTGTGCAGACTGTGGCAGGCATGGCAGAGAAACCATTTCAAGTTACAGTTAAAGGTGAGACTATGAATTATTCCTGTGTCTTTTTGTTGTTCTTATTTCTTTGTTGTTCTTGTTTTAGGCAGCTTTATAGTCTAATATGGCAGAGTTTCTACTTTCTGCACTGCGTTGCAGAAGAATGTTTGAGTAAAAATGTATAGTCACAAGATGAATAGAAGTCTGTTACAAGCATCATCCTAATTATATGTATTGAAAATMAGAGCGATGACGAGGATTAAAAGAAAATACAGGAAAGAACTAAACCACTAGTTTTAGGATATAAACCTATATTTTCTAAGGATTGGGAAGAACCTCTCCCATTTTCTTATATATCTCAGAAGGTGACAGGGATTTAATGATTTAGAGAATTAAGAGGCTGGTTTAATAGTTGCGTTCTTGCTCAGTTCCTCCTGTGCCACAGTATGCCCCGAGACTGACAGACAGTGGACATAATTTTCTCATTATTGATATCAATGCTGAGTCACATCTTGGAGATGGGCCTGTTGTTTCAACAAAACTCCTATACAAGCCAGCAAAACGTTATCAGTCCTGGATGTCTGTGGAAGGTAAGAGTCCTGTGCTAAACTCTGCCAAACGTGTATTTTAGCTGCATGTTGAAACATATTTATAAATGCAGTTTCTGCTTTTAATCTAGACTCAAAGATTCTGCAATCTGTAAACATTTAATCTTTTTTTTATGACTGGACATGTAAATCTGTGTATATCACTAGCACATAATGTTAATGCTACAACAGTAGCAGTTTAGTAAAATTGTCTAGTCGAGTGTTGAAAAGGTTCCTCTCTCTGCCAAGTTAAACAGCCTCGGTTTTGGGCTCAACTGCTGAAAACTCCCCCACAGATAACAGATTTCAAAGCCAGTGAGCAGCATAGGACTTCCTCAGAATATTTATATTCCCTCTATTTGTTTATATATAATTCTGTATGCATATTTGTGTATATGTCTATATATGTATTCATACACAAATGAATACATTTAAATATATATATATATATACATATATGTGTGTGTGTAAAATTGTCAGGAATAGTACAATTAAAATTGAACTTGCCTTTGACTTAGGCAATCTCTTTCAGCCCTGTTTTACTATGTATTCCAAGCAAGATATAAAATATTATAGGAAACGTTATAGGAACTTGTAAAATTATTATAGGAAAATGTAAAAACATATAGTTTATATGTTTTTATATATAAACATATAACATATAGTTATAGGAACATGTAAAAAACAGATGATATATTAAGGCAATAGCATACAAGATATGCATACATAATGCACACTACTTCAATTAGTCTTGTTCTCTCCTGAAGAAAGGCCAGTTGGAAGTATTCCTTTGGCTGAACTCAAGTGGCCACATCCATTCATAATAAGTATTTCTAAATAGTTTGCCTTAGTGCATGGGAGTGCTAGAAGAACATTAATATCTTACCTTCTATTTCCTGTGATTCAGGAATGTTCTCCAAAACTTTTCTTCTTTATCATTTTTAATCAAGGATTATGGCTTTTCTGTTCCGTTCTCATTTTATTCTCAGTGAAAGGCAGAACCAAAAGACTGGACAATCTGGAACCAAAAACAGAGTATCAGTTCTGTGTTCAGCTGAGCCGGCAAGGCGAAGGTGGGGAAGGTCACCCTGGACCACAGGCCAGCTTCACGACCACAGCGCTTGGTATGTCAGGAGCTTGCCTTCTCACAAAAGGGATATTTTGGCTGTTTTCTTCTATGGGTTACTCCCTGATCTCTGCCAGAGCACTATCTTTTGAGCAAAGAAGAGACTTGACACAAAGCCAAGATCAGAGATTTCTGATTCAGTGTCACTCAAAGTAAAAAAAAAATGGGTGAAGAAAAGCATCTTGCATGAGAGACAGAGCTATTATTCTGCCTGATTCACAGGTGGGAAATTTGGGAATGGAAAGTTTGCATATTTTATCTGAGCACAGAGTAGAGTTGGCAATAGAAATCACTTATTTCAAATGTCAATCCTTCCTCTGGATCACTTCTTTCCATTAGACCAGTTTACTTTTAAAATTAAGATATTTGAACACATAAAAAAGTTTCAGACTMTTGAGGATACTCCCAGAATTGAATCCTGACATACAAAATAAATGAAATTTCCATTAGTAATTATCTAACCAGATAATAAAAGAGCTGGCTTCTAATATCTAGAAAGTGCATCACCAATTCAGTGAACATGCATGCCAACCTTGTTGATAAGATACTTTGTGCCTGTCAACGCCTCTGAGATTATTATCAAAATCACAGGGAGGAAAAAAAGAATAACCTTTGTCACTATAGGCTATGGCCTTTTTTGGGGACGAGAGTAACTGGTACTCCTATTTTAGTTTGCATATCAGACATAAAATGTTATTCCCTATCTCACTGTGGCTCCTCCAAGGTCTTCCTCCACCAGAAGGCCTCATCCTCCTTCCAAAAAGTACGACATCGCTGAATTTGTCATGGCATCCCTTAACTCTGAGGACAGAGGATGACATTCATGTTGAAGTGGAAAGGAAGAGTGTGAATGACAACGGTGACAAGAGCAGTGTTATCACCCAAGTGCCAGGAAATATGTCCACTCTGATCATTAAGGACCTTGAGCCTAGACAGCATTACATGTGCAGGGTACGGGTAAACGCCAGGTCGCAAGGAGAGTGGAGCAACTATCTGTATGCATGGACTTTCAGTGACAGTAAGTAGCTGATTCACTTTCTGCTGTTTAATTGTTCCTCTTTTTCCCCAGTGATCATATTTTTAATATATGACTCCACTAAACGTATTTTTTTGTTCTAGTAATTTTCAGTTTCTGATGGCCACTTGTCATTGTTGCTATTACTATTACTATGAAGATAAACTCATTATCTAAAGATATTATTTTGGAAATTAACAAGAACTAGTAATTTTTCAAAAAATTGAACAAATGAATAAATAAATAAGTAAAAACCTTTGGAAGCCATGATTTCTGTTTTAAGATGAATAGTGACATGAACATTTTTTAAGATTTTTTTTCTCCTTGCAATAATGAGCTTATAAAGTTCTGCACCCAATCTTTTTTRTTCTTCCCAAATGAATAAATAACTAAATAAAATCTGATCCTGCAGTTCAGCTATGTCAATATTGAACAAGTTAGCTTTTAAAGAAGGAGAGAAGATGCAATGGAAGGTAAATACCCTGAACACAGAGGGTTACTATGTGGGTTAGTAAAGATCAATGAATGTGCTTAAATTCCTGAAGTGAATAGTACATTCCCTTTCATAATGCCTCAGCAGATGCTTTATCTGAAGTATGTCAGGTTGGTGAGCATTACTGACCGTCCAATTCACTGGAAAGGCAAGCTTCTTACTCCATACAGTGAAGAGTCCTCCACTGAGATCCTTTTAACAGAAATGTCAGCGAGTGTCACCAGACACTCCATTTTCCTGAACTCTGACACCAGTGTGCACTAAGAAAAACATAAGGATGCTGGAAAACGTACTTAGTTTAGGAGCCATGGATGGGGACACAAGCCCAAGGTTAAGCCCTGCTCAAGGATTCCTTAGGAAATCTGTGGAAGTGTTGGTGTCAATTTCCCTTTATTCTAACAGCCTGGCAGGTGATTGCTTTTCTACAGCAATGGAAAGAATGGAACTTAGGAATCACGGAGAAATGATAAGCTGGTGAAGGAGTAGTAAACCCCATCTGCATTAAACTGAAGGCAATCATTTTGCCTTACAGTATTGGAGCATTCACATCTTTTCCCAGGAAGATAAGCATGCTAAATACCACTTTAAACTCTGCTGGAAGTGCTAAGAACTACAATGTGGGTGATAGCAGAACAAATTAAAAAAATAGAATCAGTTAGTATAGTTTGTGAGAAAAATTCTGATTGTTTAGCAAGAACATTGGGGAGAGTATTTACCACCCTGATGGAAGTAGAAAGACATGGATATACAACAGAACATTTTGTGTGTGCTTTGTTTGCAGGAATCCCTCCTGCTCCCTACAACATCAAGTTTTCTAACACCACAGACACGTCCTCTGTCATCTCTTGGACAACTGCTGAGGGTCATTCCATCTCCTGCATAATCATCAGCTACAAAATTTACGGCAAGGCTGAGTATAACCACATTGATATCGTAATAAAGAACACCACCATTACTCAGTACCATCTCAAGGGGCTTGAACCAAACACTGTATACCAGGTACAGATTAATGCTCAGAATAACATTGGCTTGAGCAACCCAAACACATCGTTTGAACTGAAGACTCTGCCAGAAACTAAAGGTTGGTCAGCATGCCAGATTGTGCAAGCTGGGGCYGGTCCTGTAGCTCTTAGCTCTTGCAGAGATACCTGGAAGTAACAAAGCACTGTTTTGTTGTGCTTTCTCAACAGCTCCATACGAATCGAAGGGAGGGAAAATGCTGCTTATTGCTATTCTTGGCTCAGCAGGGATGACCTGTGTAACAATTCTCCTGGCCTTTCTCATCATGTTACAGCTAAAGCGAGCTAACTTCCAGCGCAGGATGGCTCAGGCTTTCCAAAATGTGGTGGTGAGATCCCAGTTTTCCCAAATCAGTCCAACTATTCATTTTGCCCCCATTGTTTCCTATTTTCCCACTTCCTTTTCTTCAGCCCTTCTAAATACAGTCTTGTCTTATAGCACAATTAGTGTTAATGTTGTAAAGCTAATCTGCTAATGATCTGGAGCTGAGGCAATCTTATTTGTAAGCTTAGAGCTAAAAAGCCTGCCTTGAAAATAAATTGACTCATTGCCTTCTCTGTCTTGCTGCATCTGCATATATGAAAACTAGTGAGCTAGAGAGAAGAAGGGGGCACATCCTCTCTCTGTAAAGTTATGTCCTGTGTTGAAAAATGCAGTGCTTTTTATTGTTCCTCTTCAGTGTCAGCAACTGCTTTGCATGGCATTTTCAGCAAACCAGGGATCAGTTAATGGCAGCAGYATAGTCCTGGATATGAGGAAGAAAGGAAGTTGATGAAGGCTATAATATAGTGTAGAGACATGGAAAGGGCTGCTGGGAAGATCTGTGCTTTGTCTGTGCTGTGTATATACCCTGCTGGAGTTTCTGCATCCCGCTGCCTTCCCTTTTCTCACTTGTGAGGCAGAACGAAGCTGGGCTGAAGAGCTGTTCTGATGATAGTTTTTCTCGTATAAAGAGGTGTGATGATCCAAGATGATGCTCTGTCCCCAGGACACACAGAACAGCCCCTGTTCTTTGTCCTAAATCATTGCTTAAAAGAGCTTTTTTTTTTTTTTTTTTTTTTTTTTTTGAGGGCAGGTGCAATTGAAGTGTCTCCTCAAATACATAGAATTATTTTCTATATCTTTCTCCTGTTTCCTCTTTACTCAATGTTCTTATTGAATCTGACTGGCACAGGATTGAGTCAATCCTAATATATAATAGAGACTTAGCACTGTCTCTAAGAGTATTTTTAGCACACCGTTTTTGCCCATCACCAGTCTGGAAGATAGCAGAATTGCTTAGATGGTCCAAGATCACAAGGGTGCTTGGATATAAGTAAGGAGCCTGAGCAGTTTTGTGGATCTTGGCACCAGAACTTGGGACTTGATGCCATCAGTGTCCAGATTAGGCATAATTTTCTATTGTACTTGATATAAGCAAAAAAATGGACCATGTGTACACGTGTGATCATGTGTTCCAGGAGTGTAATCAGAGCATTGGAAAGATATAAACCATGGTTAATGCTATTTGTGTAATTCTGTTTACAGAGGGAAGAGCCAGCTGTACAGTTTAACTCAGGTACTCTCACCCTGAGTAGGAAAGCCAAAAACAGCCCAGATCCCACTATTTACCCTGTTCTGGAGTGGAATGACATCAAATTTCAAGATGTGATTGGAGAAGGCAACTTCGGGCAAGTTCTGAAGGCGCGAATTAAGAAGGATGGCTTACGCATGGATGCTGCAATTAAAAGAATGAAAGGTAGTAACAATCAGATTTACAATGTTTGGTTGTTCAAGTGTTGCCCACCTACAGAAAGGCTGAATTGCCCTCTCCCAGCCCTAAAACAAATCCAAACATTTAGCATTGAAATTACTAATAAAATCACATCAGCTGTCATCTGGCCAAGACTTGTATCCTGGCAAGGACCGCATTTCTGCTCTGCCAAGTTGCAACTCCATGTTTATATATAATAATAGTTATTGCCAATAATAATTGCTAATAGTATTATTATTATTATTTTTCAATTTATAATGTAATTTCAATTTATAATGTAATTGGAAGTCACTAGGAGATGCAGAGATAATAGCATGAATCTAACCTTGGGCAACATCATTTGCTCATCCTGTCCTAACTCAGCAGTTCAGAGAACTGTATATGTCTATATGCGTATATTATATATATTGTGAGGTCCACTTAAGTTTCTTTGTACTTGGTGAGCTTGACTGGCATGTTTTAGAGAGACTTAYAATTTCTAGAATATGTTAAGAATTTAGAATTTAGAGTTTCCTATAATTCACTAGATCATTTTCTAGAGTATTAGGAGACATTTTAAGTGTGATCACCAGTAAAAAAAATGCAAGGTCTGTACAGAGACCAAAATACTTAACAGTACACACCAGGGAATATTGTTAGGCAGTCAGATTCATATAATCTGTTACAGCATTTAAAGCATTTAAAGCATTTTATATTTTCAAATTTTACTTCGCTATATTAAGATATTGTTTTTTTCTCCCTTGCAAATGGTTGCTAAAGGTACCACATTACATCATTTTCTTCCCTTTCAACTGAAAAAATCATACTTTTTCAGTAAAAATTCATAGCTGATATGAGTTTTTTCCTCTTTTTATGGGGGATTTGGTAGTAGTGCCATAGACAGCCCAGGGTCTTCCTAATTAAGAAGGATATGGTCATGACTATAGTTCAAATGAAAACAAGTGTATGTTGGTTTGATTTTCAGAGTACGCATCAAAAGATGATCACAGAGACTTTGCTGGAGAGCTTGAAGTTCTTTGTAAACTTGGACATCATCCCAACATCATAAATCTTTTGGGAGCATGTGAACATCGGGGTGAGCAACTCTTAAGTATATGTATTTTAAGATAATTAACAAAAAGAAATGTTATAGCCCATATAGAAACATCATTTCCTGAGCAAACATATTCATGCAGAATTTTGATTGGAAAAAAAAAAAAAAAAAAAAAAAAGATCTTGGAGGTAAAAACATGGTATTTGCATAAATCCTCCAGTGATGATGATGCTCATTAGTAGTTCTAAAGCCTTTTCTGCACATAGTAATCACATTGTTTATTTCCCATTTATATTTTTTCTTAACCACAGCAGTATAATTGTTCCAATAGCATTATTAATCATGCCTAATCCTGTGATGTGCTATCTGACTTTACATTAGGGTACCTTTATCTTGCAATTGAATATGCCCCCCATGGAAATTTACTGGACTTCCTTCGGAAAAGCAGAGTCCTGGAGACAGACCCAGCATTTGCTATTGCCAACAGCACAGCATCTACGCTTTCGTCTCAGCAACTTCTACATTTTGCAGCAGATGTCGCTAGAGGGATGGACTACTTAAGCCAGAAACAGGTTCGTTTTAAACCACCTACGCGTTGAAAACACAGCAATCACACTGAAAGCACAGCAATTCATTTTCTATGGACTATGCATTTTAACAAAATCGAAGTAAGCTTATAATTTATTTTTGGTAACTCCTACTGGATGAACACTTTTTGTTGTGCTTACTGAACCTCAACAGACCATGGAGAATTACAAAGACACATTAAAACAGAATTTATAGGGTAACTAACTGCTTCTTTCTCTAATTAAAGTTAATAAATGTTCATAATACTGGTATATTAAGGAGTTTCCTTTAGTTTTGTTTTTTATTCTGAATGCCTGCAATTTGCCATATAGAACGTGCAAAGCTCATAAATATCGTGCTGATTTCTATTTTTCAAAGTTTATTCACCGAGATTTGGCAGCAAGAAACATCTTGGTTGGAGAAAATTATGTTGCAAAAATAGCTGACTTTGGTTTATCAAGAGGCCAAGAAGTTTATGTTAAGAAGACCATGGTAAGGATCAAATCTAACTCTGTGGTTTGTTTTACTCATTTCTTTATATTCTTATCTCTTTTCACATATTTTTACATAAACAAAAATGCATACTTATACCTCCTATTTAACCATTTATGTATTATTAAATTATTAAAGTGAATACTTGTATCAAATGCTTATTCCTTTACATACATGCCATACAAACCAATTTTATACATTATATGAACTATATGARGAAGTGATAATATATCTGAAGTCTGAAGTAATTTATTTTGCAAGCTAGTTACCAGATTCAAATCACAATATAGAAATTTGTACAGTATTTATTTCATACATGAATAGAATCTGTACATGTGTGCATATCTGTACAGCTAAGAARATTAAATTGCCACAACAGAATTTCTTCAACTGACAAGCCGGTCTAATTATACCGAGTGAGGCCCAACTTCAGAAAATATAACTAAAAGCATGAGAGAATCTATGTAAAAAAAAAGAAGCATTTGCCCTCAGTTTTGGGGGCTCTGGAAGTAGAAGATGCCTGAAGGACCTCAKGCAGTCACAGACCATGAATAGCATCTTATGGTCAGGAATGCCTACAGGCATCACTCAAGAATTTAYCTCTTGATGCTGGGTTGATGTGTTTTTGTCAGCCTTAGTGGGAAATGTACCTCTGGAAAGTAAATGTACAGGTCAAGTAATTGTACACTAGTAAGTCTATCTACTAAATGACACTGACTTGCATGATGTAATTTTTCATTAAGACAACTTTTTTTCCACTTGCTAACAAACTCATATTAATAATTTCAGGGACGGCTTCCAGTGCGATGGATGGCAATTGAGTCTTTGAATTATAGTGTTTACACCACAAACAGTGATGTGTAAGTATGTTTTTCTTTTTTTTTTTATACAAATCCCTATTGATACCAAATAAAGTTTGACAACTAAGATGAGACATACATACATGTATCTCAGAAAAATCAGTAATTTTGTCAGCATGTGTGTGAACAAATGGCAAGGAAAAGCACAATAACAATAAGAAATTATTATTTTACACATTGCAAGTATGTGACATTCTTCTAAATCCATAAAGTAATTGATTTGGGACACTAACTTAGTTATATTTGTTATTTGAAACAAAAATCTGCTGAATTCTTCAAAGACCCAAAGGAACACAGTATTTTAGTCAGGAAAACATGGTTAGTATTTTGCAAAGCAATTCTGCGATAGCAGTATTTTCCATGAGAGAACAATCCAGTACTGGACAGACTTAAGAAGGTTTATTTTACTGAGGATCTCACTTTATATATYGATTCTATGAAACGCATCATTATACAAAAAATAATAGGAAAACATGAAAAGAGTGAATCACACTTCTCTGTTCTCAGAATTTCAGTAAAACTGTCTGCTATGTTCAACTATGACATCTTGTTGCATTCTTATACTCTGAATTATAACCCTCTGTTGCAGGTGGTCATATGGTGTCTTATTATGGGAAATTGTTAGTTTAGGTAAGTGTCTGGATTTCAGAAAAAAATGCAGAAATAAAGAAATCTGTGCCACAATATGCTCCATTCACTCAGTCTATTAAAGCATATCTTTCAGCCATATTTCCTTTCTTTTCTTTCCCTTTTATTTTACTAAATCTGACTTAAAGAATAACAAAGATACCCTATTTTCCTTGTACTACAAAAACCAAGCAGTGTCTGAATGTAAAAATCCAGTCTAACACATGATTAGAGTTCTAATCCAACAGTTTTATGCCTTGAATTTAAATATATCCATATTTTAAGGAATTTTTGCCAGACTTCTCTTACTCCAGCCAGTAGATTTTTAAAGATTCATCTTCAGATAAAACTTGGAGCTCAGTTCTGCAAACATTACTATTCATAGTACTTGTAGTACAATCTCAAACCACTCACGACAACTGTGTTACATATTCTTTATTGCTAGTCTTAGAATATCTGCTAGCCAACCAGTGCAAACTGATTCAGGGTCATATTGCATGCAGGACTAGTCCTAAACTTTTATTCTTTAGTTTTTGTCCATGTTTTCTTAAGAGAATAGGTTTGTGCTAGAAATGGGTATGAACTAGCAAATTGCAGTGGGGAGACCCAAGGTTCTAAGCATAAAAACACCTACAAAATGGGAAAACATGCATAGATCCACATCTAATCTTATTAATACCATATTCAGGAACAACTGAATTACTTACCATTACCGATGGTACTGAAAAATCATTTCAATTAAATCAGATTCAGGTCCTTTGAACAGCAGAGCAATTTGGGCCACCCTGCAGTTGATAAAAATGTATACTGTCTTTTATTTTTTCTCTATACTGCTTTGCATTAATCAGCGTGGAAACAGTAACAGCAAAAGAGTTGTTGACAACCTAATAACAACCTAATGTAGAATTAATTTATCCAAGTCATTAATTCTTCTCTACTAAAATAAGGTTTTCATAAGGAAAATATACATAAAGAATGTAATCAAGATAATGACTAAGCTCTACTTTAGGTGGAACACCGTATTGTGGAATGACATGTGCAGAACTCTATGAAAAATTGCCTCAAGGGTACAGACTTGAAAAGCCTCTCAACTGCGATGATGAAGTGTAAGTTACTACCACTGCAAACAAAACAATGCAACATCTGCTATAAAAGATACACAATTTCTAGAATAAACTAAGAAAATAAACTTTTTTTTTAAGGAAAATATACAAGTCATAATTTATTAAATTTAAATAGGATGTGGAAGTGGGAGTAATTATTTAAAAGCCTTTCCTGCCAGTATGCACTCTTATTTGCCATGAGCCTTTCCATAGACTCTCTTTTTCTGCCAAATAGCCTGTTCTCAGCAAAATATGGCCAACCAACCTTCAGCTCAGAGAGCATTACGGTGAAAAAATCCTGACAGCAAACTATGAGAAATGTTAATCTAGCTATGAACTTTATTTGAAAAATGGAATACCTAACACAATCTTGCAGTGAATATAAACTTGTAGTTTTAGTTTATGCATTTGAACAATCATGTGCTGCTGTATGATTTTTAAAGGTATGACCTAATGAGACAGTGCTGGAGAGAGAAACCATATGAACGACCATCATTTGCTCAGATACTGGTGTCACTGAACAGGATGTTAGAAGAAAGGAAGGTAAGAAGGAATTCTTAGACAAGAATTAAGGCATTAATATTGTTTATATAGCTTAGTGTTTTTGAAGCACTGCAGCTTTTTTGACATTTTTAAAAAAATTTCTCCCTAGACATATGTGAATACCACCCTATATGAGAAGTTTACCTATGCAGGCATTGATTGCTCCGCTGAAGAAGCTGCTTAAGACAGGAAAAGAATCTTCATTCATCAATGAAGAATGAATGAATGAATGAATCAATCAATGAATAACCGAAAACTCAGTCTTCTGGAGCCCAAAATGTGATGTGCTGTGTTGACCTCTGTATAGTTCTCACTGTATAATGTTTAATTACAGATAACTGAAAGGGGATATGATTAACATGTATAAGTTCATGAAGGAGGAATGTAGGGAGGAAGGGGTCAAGCTCTTCTCAGTGGTGGCCAGTGACAGGACAAGGGGTCATGGGTGCAAGTGGGAGAACATCTCCATATGAGGAGGAACTTTCCTCTGAGGGTGCCCGAGCCCTGGCACAGGCTGCCCAGGGAGGCTGTGGAGTCTCCTGCTCTGGAGATCTTCCCAACCCGCCTGGATGTTGCCCTGTGTCCCATGCTCTGGGTGTCCCTGCTGGAACACGGGGGTTGGACTAGATGATTCCTAGAGATCCCTTCCAACCTCAGCCATCCAGTGATTCTGTGATACCTATGTGTACTATCTGCCTCTACAGAATGCACAACCATACATACTGTTTTGAGTAGGAATGGACTCAAGTCATGAAATCTGCTCCTTCATGAACAATTTTTTTTCTTGCACATGTAGATAAAGTATTTGCATTTAGTTACAGTAATGTTATGTGTTGCCCTGTCAGATATTTTGGAAAATTTCAGAGAGACAGAAAAATCATTGTTTTGTAGCAAATCAGACATTTCCTTTTAATTCAAACAAAAAATGGTAAGCTCAGTGTGAATGTACAAGTTACAAGCAGTAACTTGGATCTCAATCCAGTATCCTCATCAAGATGTAAGCCTCTTCTACTTGCATGTAAAAACAAGCTAGTAGGACTTATTCATTTGAAAATTCTGACATTGGTAAAATAAAATGAATGCTATTCTTTTGCAAGTTGATAGCCAGTTTCCATGCTAAATATGAGAGTTTCTATATCTTAAAAAAATACACATATATATACACATATTAATGTTTGACACTGAGACTGCCATGCCGCATGAAACGTGGGATTAAGAAAATATTACCTATTGTAAAACATTCTTACAGTTAATCTGAATATACATGAAGTTCTTGCAATTTGTATTCAATTTAAGAAGTTAATTGCATGATTATAAATTACTACCTTATTATGTAGAAGAGAGGTTTACTTATGCTCTACGCAGACTTTTGTACAGTGTGGTCTTTTAAAACCATTTGACTAAAATTCTTTAAAAATTCTTTAAAACGGTAATATCTGGTCTGCCAGAAATGTCTTCTGGTTCTCAGGTTGGATCATCAGAGGCTCTGGTGCCAAGTCCACCACTTGGCATCCTGCAGGACTCTACATGTTCAAAATTCACACACAGTTTACCTCATGCTTTGCACATACATTTCCTTCATTACCAGTAATTTAGCAGCATAAAACTGCCTATCAGATCACAATAACTCTGTACATATGCGGGTCACTCCCTAGAACTTTGGGTTGGAAGGGAAAGGGATAGAGATGCTTGGTTTGTGTACTGAATATGTGGGTGGGTTATCTTAGCAGAGCATAAAGTTATGCTGCAGGCATACATCAAAAAATCACTAAAAGCATTATTGAAGAGGTCAAAGAATTTTGACATCCTTTGTGCAGTTGTGAAATGAGTGAAGTTGGCAATTTAAGTCCGCTGTTACAAGCCGAATTTACAAAATGTGCTCGGACTGGCTGGACCCATACAATAACTCCAAACGAGAAAGAAAAATCCATAAAAGACTCATTGTCAGGACTATTTTCTTGAAGCTTGGGAACTGCCTTTATTTTTATTTTTATTTTTTTTTGAATCTGAGTAGGCTCCTGGAGGTCAGCAAGGTGAACACAAATGGATCCCTCCTCACCCTGGCTAGGTTGTCAGACAAAGCTTAATAATAACTTTTGCTGAACTGCTCTGCTTTCTAAAAATATTTTTTCTCGAGTCTGAAACAGATCATCTCAGTCCTTAGCAAGCAGACCACCTTACTCACTATCCTGCTACTTTGCTTGTCTCTTCTGTGGGAAACTTTACTTTGACGTACAGGCCACAAAGAGAAAGAACCAGGTTCGCTCAGCAGTCCAATACACCTTACTAGTGTCTGCAATAAGTGCTTGAATCTCACTCTAAATTTAGCTGAAAGTCATTTAAATATGTCCTTGAAGGTCTTCTTTATATCTCTAGTTAAGACTCTAGCATGTATTAATTTTCTAATCTGTTGTGGGAAAATTTTAAAATCAACTTTAATCATCATTTTAAAAAATAGAATAACCCTAAACACTTCCAAACCTTTCTACTCAATTTATATATTCCAGAGCTACTGCTGTATAAAGAACTCACTAGCTGCATCAGGAACTTAACTAAGTTGCTTCTACACATAGAACACGTATTAGGTTTTCCAGGTTTGATAGCTAGATTTTACTGTCTATTGTCTAGCTCAGGAGTATATGACTCATGGGAATGGGTGGTTAAGGAAAAATCTTCAGCTTAATCAGTTGTTGTGCTCCGCTCCCTCTTCCATACCAAAGTACCTCCTATTCCCTCCTCCCAAAGAGTCTTCTGTTTTCACTCAGCTGAGAGCACAAGGTCCCCCAAGGCCCAGTAGTTTATCACTATCCTAACCTCTCTACAGCCTAACCTTCTTCATACGCCTCCACCTACCTACGTCTCTATGTATGAGCTTACTGTGTCACTCTACCCTATGCCTCTTTTCTAACAGCACAGACCTAAGTTCTACATTTTCTCATATACAGGTGTCAAACTCATGCTCAGGACTCATGCCTAGGAGAAGACAGCACCACTGTGGACCTTGCCTTAAAGTTAAACATTTAAAGCAAAATGGTCAGGCATTTGCTGAAACAGCAGTAGAAAGTGCTGATCATTACCTATGTCTCCTCAAACTTCCCATAAATACCTAATGAGAGAGAATAAGATGGAGGAGACAGGGCCCTGTGACAGAACAAGCAGCAAAGGGCACAAGCAGACATACAGAAAAATTCCTCTTTTTTTTTTTTTGTTTAAATTTTCCTCCTCTCTCTGAGAGGGCAGTTGAGTACTGTAACAGGTTGCCCCCAGAGAGGTTGTAGAGCCTCCTTCCTTGGAGATGTTCAAAATGTGACCAGACACAATCCTGGGCACACTGCTTTAGCCAGCTCTGCTCCAAGAACGGGTTAGACRAGGTGATCTGCAGAGATGCCTGCCAGCCTCGGAGGAATTCCTCTGACAAAGCAGCAGAACTCAGAATATGTCAAACAGCAGTTTCCAACAAAGAAGCCAAACTGCTCCAACCCGGGAAAGATGTCAAGTCACGCAAAGCTACTGTTTCCTGGTAATGCTTTTCTTTTGTGCTCTTTCCCTCCATATCACTTTTCTGGGGTTTTTGCATTGATTCTTCAAAGTATATTTTTATCCTTTTATCTCCAAGCCTCTATTCCCTCCTAGAAAGGAAGAGGTGGTCAAAAAAAAAGGTTTTTTTTTTTTTTTTTAATCCTTGATTTACTTCCTCTCTGAAGGTATTATATGTTTTAGCACACCTTTTGTGGTGTATAGGGAATTATATCTTGGAGAAGAGTCAGGTTAATTGATGCACACAGCATATTTTCTTCCTGAAATATTGCACTTCGTGGGAGACCTCACTTTTGATTATAGTGAAAGAAGCTAGCGTAGGTCACTGCTTTTTTATTTTAAAACTTTCTAGAGGTAGAGAATTATTCTAAAGAAAGCAACTTATTGTGTTCTGGAATTAGTCACATTAATGCTGTTGGGGCTTTAAAAAAAAAAAGAGAAGAAAGAAAAGAAAAAGACATTTGTTCAATTTGTTAAAAGGGRTGAGTTTCTGACTCTTTCCTGTGGAAGAAGATGAAAGAAGGGTAGAAAGGAAGGGTAAGAGAAAARGAGGGCACTCACCTTAAATTCTACTTTCAAATAGCGGAAATTAGAGCTCTTAAATTTTATTTCAGAGATGCTGAACAAATCAGTCAAAACTAAAGCTAGATCCAGAAGTTTTTCATGTTCACTTCTTATACTTGCTATTTTTCAGCTACACACAATAGTAAGGTGGATTACAGAAGCATGATTATTTTAACAAAACTGCACAGGCTTGCTATTTAACACAAAAAACGACAAGTAGCTTACTTGCATGTATTTAGCGCATCCATTTTTTCTTTTTTCTTTACCTTTTAAGTTTCAGAAGTGGATTTTCCCATTAACCCACAGCCAACTCTGGACACCAGAAAAACGATTGGTATTGAAGCATTTAAGAATAGTGAGCTGCTTTYCCTCTCCTGCTCCTCCAAAGCTATAATTGTCACCATTTTCTTCCTTTGTCTTCTTTGATCTTCCAAAGTGTTAGTTCCATACATGCAATTGCATCTTCGCTACAGTTATGACCACCAACTAGGGASACCAAAAAACAAGAAGTGTTAAATTATGTATTACCTTTATAAAACAAATGCAGTGCTCTTCATGATGAAGTTGAACAGCTGCTGCACATCTTAATACTTTSTATTCAACTGTTTTTTTGGTTTCAATTGTTGCTACTAGGATTCAACATAATCATACCATATTCTCACGTCCAATATTGTCTGGTAGTACTACACTGCACACTACATCCTGCTATAGTATTAAGTGGAAGAAGAATTAAGCTTGCCAAAGTAATTGATTTTGGAAAGCCAGATTCTCACCCAAGGCTTGTGCTTTCAAATCACAAGTTGAAAGTCTAACTCAAGACAAATTTCTACTGCAATGGGACAATCAATATCTACCTTCATCATTTAAAGATAAAGAAAACTTCTGAAAAAAAAACCCTACTCTTCAATATCTCCACAGAAAAGAGTTAAAAGATTTTAAACTTTAAAAAAAGATAATATATACATTTTTATTGTAGGCTCATTCAATACTCCATAAATCAATGACTTGCAATACAAGTATATGCATGCTTTATCCCTTTTTTTTTTTTAATTATTGACAGAACAGTAGAAAGATTTTAACATGTGTTTCCTGGAATACAGTGACACCTCATTCAAATAAACACCTACAGTTCTCATTAATTGACAGTGAAAATAGCCGTGACGAAACCTCCCCTAACAGGAAACCAAGCTAAGAAAGCGTTGGTTGACCAGAAACAATAGTTGACTCCTGAAAGTTTAAACACTCTCTAGTGAAAGATGCTACGATCTGCATGATCGTAGCATCTCCAGGATACGTGAAGAACAGTCCTGAAGTATTTAGTTGTCTTTATTCATGGACAGTAATTTGGTTTATACTGATATATCTGAATATGTCTTGTCCTTAAATTCTAAATGAACTAATCAAGGGAAATCTAAACCTTGTACATTTTAACTTATGTTTGCTCATATATTTTGAATAGAGGTACATCTCAAAAAAACAGTCTTGAGATAGATGCTAGTTAGTAAAAAAAGTTGCAGAATTAAAATTCAGTTCAGCATTTTCATCTGAAAGTGTTAAAATTCCCTCTCCACTCTGTGTTCTTGGAAACTGACTCAAAAAGCCGAAAAGCTAAAAGAAAGGTTTCTAGCATTATAGGCTTCCACAGATTCCTCATATCATAAAAGTCACAGCTTCATGCACAAAATAATTGTATCAACAACAAGTGAAACAAGTTGATTGCAGGAAAACGCAGTTCTAAGATTTAAGATGTTCCATTTTTCAAAGCAGCAAAGGATCCAAGCACTATCACAACTGACATACGAGTTTTTAATATTTCTCTTGTAAAATATTAATGATTCAAATGAGCCTTCTTGTGTAGAASTCTAAATCTGAAAGCAAAGATCAAATGTTTAAAGACAAGTTGTTCAATTCAGGCTGGCACAACACAAGTGCATTACACAAATGCTTTCACTGATAGACTTTTAAAAATTTATTCATGTAATATATTCTGAATGGTAAGGTTTCTATTTAGAGTTCATGACTTTTCCTGTTTCCAGAGTGAGAAAACAACTGATAACGAGCTTGCAGTTTCTAGCTATCTTCTCCCTAAAAGTACTTTAAAGATGGTAATTTGAGCCTGGACTCAGAAACTAACTTACTCCTCATTACGATAATAAAAAGATGATTCTGCACTTCCCCACCCACCCCAAGTCCCCCGTTCTCATTATCTTTCTTGAGGAAATTGAGGAAATTCTTCAATTCTCATTCTCCTCATTATTATTCATATAGAATATGAATAATATATTATTCATATTTATATTATATTATATTATTCTATATTATTCATATATATTCATATTCATATATATTCATATTCATATTATATTATTCTATATTATTCATATAGAATGTATACTGTAGAAACGTATAATGCATACTTCAGAACTATTTCATATACTGTAGGTCAAAATAGAGCTTCACAGTTGAAGCTGTTATCTCTGAAATCAAAAAATCCTTGAGCTGATACGCTTTAAAGTCAATTCCCATTCATTTTTGTTACTTTCTGACCATCAAGAAAAAGTGTTAGTGGCTTAAATTCACTGACAAGTTAAATTACCACAAACCTAACACTGCAGGGTAGTGAAGGATGTTTCATTTATTAATCCTATGCTTGTGAATAATGCAAACCCAGACTTAGATGAAAGTTATTGCCCTTCTTTTGTACAACACAAAGCAACAGTACAAACTGATGCAAAACACAATGAACTGATGTGAGGCTTTTTCCCTTATTTTCTTAAACTGTAGATCTGTGTAGTTGCCATTTCAAGTCAGGAATGTAGGCTGTCAAAAATTAAAGCACAAAATTCTACTAAAGGCAGAACTTTAGTTTCAGATAGAGATCTTTAAGATATCTCTGACATGCCCAACCCACCAGCTCCCTGCTGTATGCTGTGTATCAGATTATCAGAGAATGGAAAGTCAGAGAACATTATGAGCTTTGACATGGAGCACCTAGTTATTTCGTTGGATATTAAATGCTACCCACTTTGTTCAACACTGTGCAAGGAAGTCTTGTCAGCAAACGCTTGTTAGTAACTGAAGCTTTCTGAAGAAAAAAAAGTGCACCTGCTGGTTTAAGGTCAGTTAAACTGAATATCTGAGATCAAAAGCAKGTATTTGGGATGAAATAGTCAATTCAGAATTAATCTGCCAAATGTTCTATTTAATTATTATTAAATGCACACATTGCAGAACAGACTAATTCATCAGACTGACTGAGCACTGGAAAAGATTGTCTGAAGAGGTTGTGGAGTCTCCATCCTTGGAGAGATTCAAAAGCCATCTGGATACAGTCCTGCACTCTAGGTGACCTTGCTTGAGCAGGRCAGGGGAGACTAGATGATCTCCAGGGRTCCCTTTCAATCTCAAACATTCTGCAGTTCTGTGAAAGACAACCATAAAATTTACCGATTTCACTACTGAAACTGGAAACGACTGGAACTGAAGAGCCCTTGCACCAGTACTACAAGGCAAGTAAACTCCAAATAAGTTAGCCTTGTCAYATTATCTTCAGAATTTTGAGAACATGATCTTCCTTAGACTATGACCATTTGACAAGTCAATCACTCCACTCTTCTGGTATGTTCTCTSCTTCTATTACAAAGACTTAAATATGGGCAAGTGTATTACTTCATATGAAATTTTTCTGCATTATTCATGTCTCTTATTTAATAATACAATGTACAGACTGCTTAATAAGAACCTGGGCTCTTACCATCATCTTGGCTAAGTCTCCTGAGGTAGTCAGCCATTAGACTTTTAAGCGCTCTTTTATGAGGGAAGCCTAGCCGATGAGGAAACATTACTGATGTGTCTATTATTTTGTCATGAATTAGCTGGAAAAGAGCAGAGAGCATATTAATGATTACATGCCCTGTTAATCTTTCACCTGCTTCCCACCTCACATCTAAAACCATTCCAGTCTGAGAAATGGTCTCAAGTTTATCCCTGAACCATGCATACTCTACTACCTATCCTGTGTTCTTTTATTTGTCATAGAAATACAAACTCTGGGGCAAGAACTGTAAAAAGCTATGTTCTGGGTTTTCTTCCCCCTCCCAACACCACACCACACATTCATTCACTACTTGTACATATAGAGTGAACATTACTATTTTCAGACAGACAGCTACCATACCATTTTCATGGAAGTTACAAAAGAAAAATTAATTCTGTTAAGGCTAAACACTAAGTCTATTCACCCTGTTAAGGCTATAACTTAATTTTGCTGAGGCTAAGTTCCTGCTTCATAAGCCTATGAAGAGTTGCAGATAGTTACGTCTCTCATGGAATACTGTTGCCATTGATAATGCCAGAAATGTGAATTGTGATGAACTAACAYGAATACTTTGCTGACAGCATAAAGGTAATTTCATTCAATTCAACAGTTAACAAGCTATTGTTTGACAAGTTAACTATATTTTCCATATTCATCTGCTAAAATGCAACATTCCCAAGATTTGTTAGATGACAGTAACATAGCAAGCAGCTACCTCTTAGAATTTGCTTTGAACAATTAAAACTTGTATGTTTTACCTTGAGACCAAATAAATCATTTTCTAAGCTGTGTCCAATTAAAATTGTATCTGCACTGAACAAGCTTAGCAGTACTGCATGTACATCCTGAAGAGATGTTGTAGTGTTCTTCAAGTCATCCTCTGTTACTCCAGAGAATCTAAGGACATATTTTGAACAGTTTCACCAAAGTGAGTAGGAAATGAAATACTTTGAAGTACAAGATCTATAGTCTATAGTCATTTCCCCTAGCAGCTAGGCTGACCCTGGCAAGCTTTGAAATTAGTGTTGCAGTTAAGCAGACAAGACATTTTTTTGATTCTTTTCTTTTCCTGGATAATTTAAGACGAACAATGTTAGATGACCTTAATTTAACTTACCTCTACCACTATAAGCAATTTAACTTTTCTTTGTAAGCATGCACCAAAGAGAACTCTGAGCAAGCATCACTGAAGCAGTTATGCATTACACTAATTCTCTCCTAACTTTTTACAGTGAGGCTCAAAAGCTGCATTTCACCTATGAGCAGTTGCAAGTCTTTAAGAACTTACAGAACTATAAAGTATTTCTTTCAGATAATTTGTCTCAGAGATAAAAAACCAAATATGAATACTGTCTATAAGAGATCTGCACTAAATTCAGCAAAAAATTGTTAGAACTTTTCTATGAAATCTGAAGGTCTCAGTGCATGGCTTATGACTATTCTGCTTTTCATTGAAGTACATTTACACACAATATTTGCATTGTTTTTACTTTGGTAAATTTAGCAAGTTCTRGGAGGTTAAATATTACCATTTCGGGGTTAAAGAAAGCAGAAAAAAAAATCTTCAAATGTGAAAAGAAACTTCTTTGAAGAGAAAAGTCTTAAATGTATTTATCAGAAAGCCTCTTTCCTGAGTGAAGATTTTCACCTTATGCTACTAGAAAGAGATTTTAAAGAGGTAGGTATCTTCTTATATAGTTATCAGTTGATTTATCTTGTAATACAGATTAATAATACACTTACCTCATATTGTAGTCTATGATTTCTCCACCTGGTTTAACAAATGAATCATAGACAATCTGTAACTTAGGATCAACTACTGTCACTCTAGTAAGTTCCAAGCCTTGCGTTGTGTAACACTGGGAGGAAAAACATATTTAACAGGTGTTTAACACAATTTAAAAGCAATTTCTCTTTCCTTACAGTATAAGTAATATTGAGAGCAAAACTGCATGATTCTCAGTCAGTGCAGCATGTAGGAAACYATCTCATAAGCCACAATTTAGTTAATAGAACCAAAGTTACTCATACCATCTCACAGTCCAGGGCATATACACCATAGTTTCCATCAAAAGGAGGTGATTTAGAACGCGTCCTCACAAAACCTTCCAGGATCTTCTGTCTCCCATCATGAACATGAAGCTGCAAAGTTTCCATCCATAAGTATTAAAAATCAAGTTTGTTAAGTTTATCTTACTCAAGTTGCCAAAAAGCTTGTTTCTTTAACAGATTAGAGAGCAAATACAGAGTATTTCTTGGTCAGTATTTACCATGTAATTTAAATGAGCCCTAGTAAGGAACCTAGAATGATTTCACTCAGCTCTGAGTCCAATGGACACAAAAAGGAAAGCCAAAATATTGCCAAAATATTGCATTAAACCCTCTAAAAGCATTACCATACCTTTGCAACCTGACACCCAGGAGATCCAACGAATCCCTCACAACAGCTATAGCGTTTTTCCAAGCCACCTGGAACTGCAAGAAAAGAGAAGATTAAAAGTCAGCAGTTTTTTTACAGCAACTAACAATATGAAAAGCAAGTAGCAGTCTTGTTCCTKTACTGAAACTTTTCCCCCTATTTTCTCCTGAAAGAGCCCTATAGAAAGAGGCTATTTAAAACACAGTTTGTTCCTAGCCATGACATTAAACTGTACATCATTCCCTCCCCATATCAGGTTTCTTAGAAGATACCAATGAAAGGCAGAGATAACTCTAGCATCCAGAAGCAAGCATGTCATATGTGTTTATTTTCATAGCCTCCAAGCAACTAAGATTAAAATTTCTGTGTTTCCAGTTGTACTCATGGCCCGTTGTCCTGGGTGCTGGCCACCACTGAGAAGAGTTTGGGCCCCATYCTCCCTACATTCTCCCCTCAGGCATTTATATCTATCAATCAGATCTCCTCTCAGTCTTCTCTTCTGCTGCTGGATGGCAGCGCAGCCCTCTGCAGTGTCAGCCACTCAATCCAGTTTGGTGTCAATTTGCTCAGGGTGACTCTATGCCTTCATCCAGGTCATTGCTGAACAAGTTGAACAGCACCTGGCCCAGTACTGACCCCTGGGGGACACCACTGGTCACAGGCCTCCAACTGGACTCAGGCAATTTATCACAGCCCTCGGAGCTCTGCCATCTACCAGTGCTCTATCCAGTGAGGAGGACCTCACTGTCCAAGGTCTCAAAGGTAAAGACATACGCAGAGAAAACAAACTTCATTAACAGCAACCTCAGTGCAAAGTAAATTTGCACATACTCTGACTTCACTTTTAAGAACAGGTATTATGACTTATGTGTTCCAAAATATCAATTGTACTTGCCTTTTTGTTCTAATACTCTACCAAAATGGTAATTGCATTCTTCTTTACGTGTATGTCTTCCTGAGGAAGTAACTGTGTATACTTTGCCACATCTACAACAAACTCTTCTGAAAGCTAGAAAAAAAAAGAAAGTATGTTTCCTAGTTGGTTTGTCAAGAAGTTCAAACATACAGAATAGGTGAAACATTTATTCCTCGCAGGTGAAATAATAAGTTACATGTATGGCAGTTTGCTAAAATGGAGCATCTATACATAAGCATTTTACAGAAAAGACCAATTTCCATTATAGAGAATTAATGAGAGGGGGAGAAAATAAATAAAAAAAACATATAAACACACAAAACCCACAAGCTTCTCTGCAGTTACTTCTATTGTTAAAACAAAATTATTCAATAAAATACTTGTGTATTACTTGTGTTACTCAGGATTAAGTAACAAAAGCTTAACAATTCACTTGCAGTCCAACCTCTAAATATAGAGCACTAGTGCAAGATATTTTGTTATCTGTGAATTTTATTGTCCTATGTAACCACTGAGTCAAGTTCAAGTTCCTTGTAGACAGTTTCACTTACCATCACATAATTTTTTTTTTATAATCCCGTTAAATACAGCATTACCATGTTTTTCAGGATGTGGTTGAGGGAAGTTATTTTCATCCAGTTGTTCCTTAGTCAAAAGATAGTCTTTTAAAAGCTCATACAGAGCAGCATTTGTAAGATCTAAATAAAAAGAAATTTCTATATTTAATATTAGACTATATTTAATTCTTAAATATATTGATATTAATGCTTCTAAATTAAAATGAAGCATAAACTATGATGTACATCGGGATTTCAAAGCAAAAATTGCATATTTATATCTCAGCACAATTAGAAGTGGCCAGTAGGGAAATATTGCTCATAACTAAGAGATTGTACAATATAAAATTCTTAGTTATTATGCAAAGACTTCACATGTAATACTAAAAACTTGCTCTTTTCAATCAGAATTGACATTTTTTCCCTATTAGGAGAATGAATCTTCAGATATCAGCAACAGACTGTATTGCATCCCTGGCTAATTACCTATGGTTAATATATAAAACTTTATCAAAAGCAGGGTCACATTTTCAATAAAATAAAGCTAATTATATGCTGAAATGGAAAAGTGACATATTTCTCCCTTCTTTACCATTCTTCTCCTCTGACTTCATAGATCCAGTTTCACCCAGGGACTTGCAGTCACTAAGTTGCCCTGAAGGCAGAAAAATATTAGAAGAATTAACATTAGAAGAAATGTTAATTTTAACATTTTCTTCAAATTCTGATATCCTGTTGAATTTCTAACCAGATCTATAGAATTAAAATATATTTCTTTCAACTGATATCTATCTATAGCTGAATTACAATATATAAAATTATCTTTAGTAAAGTAAAACTAAACAATTCTTATTAGTCTATTCCTCCTTCATTCTTATTTCTCTACATCAAATATATATAAAAAACAAACAAACAAAAGCTTTGTTGAAAGAAAAACTACCATGATTCCTTAGCTTTTTGAGGGTGTTCACAGCAATATTCAGGTACATATTTTTACTGCCGCAACGATCATAAATTGATTTTTCTTCTATCAGGGCCTATAGTAAAAAAAACAACCACAAAAAAAGTTAATGTTGTATGTTTCTATCATCTCCATTTAGAATGTGGTATTTTGARCCTAGAGATGAAAAACATGTTTAAATAGTATCCTAAACCTAAAGTACAAAAAAAGACACAGAGAAAGTTGAATTAGCCTTCTGGGAAGACAGTTTCAGTATCTACAAAGGAAAGTAGGTGCAAAGGAAAGCAGGATTTCAGGGAAGACAAATGCTCCAATCAAAATTTTAAATCTCACCAAGTACTACATTTCTAGTTAAAGAAATACAGTAAATTTCCTCTTAAAAAGCTGTAGGAGAATGAGATGAAATGACTATTTCATCTCAGTCATGCAATTACGAAGAAAAACATCACATTGGAACTTGAACACTTGGAACATCACTGGAATTATAAAATTATATTATTATATTATATATATTTTTATTTATTTATTAGTTATATTCATTATATATAATTATTTTATATAATTATTAGTTTATTAACAAAACTAACAGTTTACTAATCTCTTGGGAGAAGAAAAAGGGTTTCTCCCTCCTCGCTCTCCACTTGTTTTTTATTTCACTCTTTACTGTCCTTAACTATACTACTACACTTAACAGAAAATAAGCCTATTTCAGCTATAAACAGGGCTTTTTAACAGAAACACTGTAGCAGCTCTAATTTGCTAGTCTATAGAGCACAGGGAAAAATGGAAAGCTGAGGAAGCTTAGATATAACACTGGAAAGTTACAGAGAAGATGAAACATTATTTTGTAGGAAAAGGTAATGAAAGACATGCTGCAATGAAGAATAAGTAGTAGAGCAGTAACATCTAGTATTTTACTGCAGGTGCTGCTACATATATGTAAAGTCTTACAAGAATATCTTCATAAGAAGAATCTTTCAACTTCCAGCACTAGTGGGAGGATATTAGTGTAGCCAGTTAATAGTTAATACAAGATGAAAATGACTGAGATGTTTTTTGCTTTCCAAAAGTATATTTGCTTCCCGTCCTGACCTCAAAATCATTATTTACATTCCAGAAAGAGTTCCACAGTTCCATGAAGATATTTTATTTTGCATTTTCCCATTTCACAATGAAGCTTCTCTGCTTTCCTAGTTACAATTCATGTCATTTTATAAGATTTTTGAGGGAAATCTATAATTCATTAATTAGAACAGGAAAAGCAAAAGTCCCAGTATATTTTAACCTTCGCCTGCTTACTGAAGAGGCAGAAATAGCTGCCCTTTAAAAACAAACACAAAAACACCACTACATTGTGCATCATTAAGACATACTGACTTCATTCATTAAGAGAAAGAATTACAGAGACCTACATACTTCCAAACACTGCAAACCTTATCAATAGCTTCATTCACAGTGCCATAAATTTTGAAGCATTCTTCAAGAAAGAAACTGAAATATCGCTGTCGTATGTCATGTGGTACTTTAGATCCTGATTCTGGAATGGAAGGCTTTTTTCCAGTAGAAACCTTTAAAAAAAAAACCAAAAACATAAAAACACATCCAGTGACCATGCAGCAAAGCTACTCCTGAAGAACCAAACAGTTCACATACATTCTTATATAAAAAATCCACATATGTTCTTGTGTCCTGCACATGCAGGAGACACTCTTCTTATTTGAAATACAAACATGAASTAATAGAGACTTTCAACTGTAATATTGGTTGTAATTGTAATTACAACTAATTGTAACCGTACTAATTACAGCTAATTGTAATATTGTAATAACTGGAATAYTGTGTGCAGTTCTGGGCTCACCAGTGTAAGAGGGATGTAGAGCCGATTAACATGTCTAAGCTCATGAAGGAAGAATGTAGGTGGGAAGGGGCCAAACTCTTCTCAGTGGTGGCCAGTGACAAGGGGCAATGGGTAKAAGTTGAAACAYAGGCAGTTCCATCTTCATGTGAGGAGGAACTTCTTTCCTGTGAGGGTGCCCRAGCCCTGGCACAGGCTGCCCAGGGAGGCTGKGGAGKCTCCTGCTCTGGAGATCTTCYCAACCCACCTGGATGCCACCCTGTGCCCTGTGAGGTGACACTGCTGGAACAAGGGGGTTGGACTAGAAGATCTCTAGGGGTCCCTTCCAACCTTAACCATTCTGTGACTCTGCGATTCTGTGTAATGTACAGTATTTAGAGACAGAGTTAAGCCATAACATCTCAATCTTAATTAGAAAGAAAATCTTGTAGTCTGTTCTGTCCCAGAAATCTTCAGTACCTCTGCTTTATAAAAAAAGTTGTTTACATCTGTAGCTTCTACAGAGGGAAAACAAAAACATAACTTGAACCACAAAACATAACTTGAACCACAACTTGATTTAGTCAATCAGAAAAGCAGTACCATTGGTAGCTGCCATTAGTATGATGACAATCTCCTAGGAGCAATAAAAAAAATAGTTACAGAACTAATGGAGTATTTCAAATGGCCTCACTCACTATTGCAAGTTATGCAGCCAAATTTCCCTGCATTTGGTAAACTACAGGTGTAAACAGAGTACATAGAGTGAATGAAAGAAATCTACCTTCCTGACTATGTTACCTCTTTTTCCTGCCACTCCCTCCCCCCCACCTCTGTTTTTGACATGTTGCTTGACCTAGGGCAGTTTGCATCTAGGTATATGTTCTTTTGGAGAAATTGCTGCAAACAAAAACAACTTTTTGCTGAGATTTCTGGAAGTAGGAATACACCATAGTGGTATATTCAGTTATTGAGAAACATTGCATGTAAAGAGTTAGAAGTGTTTGTTTTCTCATGAATTACAAAACTAAAAAATTGTTTCTGTCATTAAGAAAATGCATCAGCTGTTATTAAATGGGCAATAGCTATGAAGAACAGGGGGAACCCTTTAGCTGATTTCCTACCAATAGATGGCTTTGAATATGATTCTGTGATTCTTTGAATATGATTCTGTGATTCTTTGAATATGATTCTGTGATTCTTTGAATATGATTCTGTGATTCTTTGAATATTACTGCTAGACTTGCTACAAAGCATACACATATCTTTGCTTGAAAATAACATGCACTGCATGCAGTAAATAAGGATTTTTTTAAATTGTACTTGTATATCATACTGTTTAAGCCCGTGTTAATCCACTACTGCCTTTAATTAAGTTCCTCACTTCTGCTTGCACCTACATGCCATATAGAGATGCAAGTTCTGCAACAGTAACTCTACAGTACCTTACTCTGCACAGGAGCAACTCTTTTAAAGGAAGGTCTATAGGGCACAACTGCTGTAACATTTCGTTCCAGTAGTGCACACAGTTGACTGCTATTGGCTTCAACAGGCTGAACTTCAAGCAAGTTAAAACAGGCTGAAACAAATAAAAGATACAGATTAAAGTTAATCTCTAGCAGTAAACTTTATTTAATCAAATTAAATAAATCTGGAATTTGATTACTCCACAGCTGCTTTGGTAAAGTAACCTGTGAAAGTATATCCTGAACTTAGGAAACATTAAGATTTCACTTTTGCAAAGTGATTTTCCACAAAATGTCCTAAAAAGGACAATGTGGATTTTGATCCAAACAGTATTGCTCAAAGATTTAGAGCAATAAAACCTGTCCCCAGTGAATGGAGGCTTCCGAATACTTAGTCTTGTATGTGGATACAGCAGCTACATGCAAAAGCTAACCGCCTATCATTCAACCCTCAGATTGCTTTCACACAACCAAGGGAAGGAGACACATTCCAGAGATGCCTGGCACAAAACAAACTCTAGCTTGTGAAACCTACGGATGACGTTGTCATACCCACTGGTCCTATGCTTTGAACTTCAGTAGCTGACAACTCCAACACAGGTTCTTTCTTTCCAGAAGTTGTAGCAACAAAATCTTCATTTCTACCAGCATCTATGAACTCCACTGCTTCCTGCTGCATTCTTGCATTATCACCCTGCTGTAAAGACACTCTGAAAGGCCCAGTTTCTTTTTTGCTCTGTACCTGGTATGCATACACACAGAAATAGATGAGTTAACATTCAAGTAATTACACTCACAGCAAGACCATGCTAACATTACTTCTTAAAACTCATTCTGCTATCAGCTGGAAAAGGACAAAGCTGCAGGAGCAGTGGGAAGGGTAATAGGCTTAAAAGAATATGCCTTAATATGGTCATCCAAAGTCTTCTGAGAGCAGAGTAAGAAACGCTTCTGGTTTGCTCGTAGTATAGGTCCACACTTCAAAAGGGCTTTTCTAGGCTCTCTTCATTAGTCTCAGCAGTTCTAGGCAGCTGCTGACTTCACCTGTGCCTGGAACCAACTCCAAGTACTACAGGATTACATTTTTACATATGTGTATTTGTATACAACAGCTTTTAGGAGAAGCAGTAATGAATAGTTAGTTTTCATTCATTTCAAAGCATTTTTGCAATTAGATTACAAAACTGAGATCACCATGAGTCTACTGAAAGTAAACCGGACCTATGTCAAACCTCAGCCTAATACCGGATTATAACTCACATCAAGATTTGCAGCATGTGTAATTCTTTTCTTTTGCACAAGAACATCTTCTTCTGTTTTTAGTAAATCCACATTTTCTCCATGTACCTGTTAAAAATAAGAATTGACTATTTTGCACCAAATATTGCACTAAAGGTGCAATCACTTTGTTTATGATTATGCTTATAGTAAGTCTTAAGAAATCCCATCCCAAAGGGGTGAGCACTTAGGGCAGTTCTCTGTCTCAGTAAATATATAGATTTCCCATTATTAAGCTACTTTAAAAAAGATAAATAGTTCTTTTTACCTTTCTCTACTGGTCCTGTAGACTCAAATATTTAACATCAACTAACACGCACTTTGGAAAGAACGCCTGAACTTGACTAAGCATAGTTTCATTTCCTAATATCCTTATAAAAAGAGCAAGCACAGAAAGGAAAACAAGATACCTGCTTATCATCTTTCTTTTGCACTTCTTTTTCAAACTCATAGAAAATTCTCCGACACTCTTCTATTGGATCATCTGATTCTGAGAACTCTGTATCCCCCTCATTAGATTCCACTTCCTCAGAAGATGAATCAAATATTGTCATTTTGCTTTCATTGCTTGCACACACAGCTTCAACAAGGGTTTTCTTATTATTCTTTTTAGCCAGGTCTGTTTTATAGCAAGCCTCCTTGCCCACATTTAAGTAATCATCCAGATAATGGCAAGTATCTTCTAGAATATCATTACCTTTATTTTCTTCTATGCTCTGAATCTTCTCTATATTTATTATCATTTCCTTAGAATTTCCTCCAGATATGCTTTTATCTCCCAAAGAGTAGCTACTGTTCCAGACAGACTGCACTACTCCTTTGCTGGTTATACAGTTATTAGGGCTATGTCCCTGAACAGATGCTTCAACTAGCATATTAGTTTGTGCAATCTCTGGCTTCAGAGTTTTCTTCTGCATGCCAGCTTCAAGACAGATAGCTGAAGACCAATGTTCTTCCTCGGAATACACAAAAGCATTTGTTTTCTCCATAAGATTACCTGAAAATTTCGGTATTTCAGTGTTGACATCAGACAAATATATTTTACTAGTTTCTGGAGAAACATCATTTAGTGTTTTAGATTTATTTAAATTCCTGTCTTCCTTTTGACAAGTGATTATTTCCTTTGATTTTTCTACTGCACACCTAGAAGGACTATCTGCTACGTCACTAGCATGCAGCTCTTTTGCACGTATTACGGCAGCCAGTTCTTCCTTATTACTGTTTTCACAATTTCTACTTATTCTTGGCTTTTTATTAACAGTGAATGGAGGCACATCAATGACAAGGTCATATTCATCATCAGAGTCTTGAAGTTTTATTTCAAGTTTCACAGTGGAAGAGTTTGACCTCTTTGTAGATGCGCATCTCGTCCTCAACGGCGACATCCTTGAACTCTCCTCCTGAGGCTCACATGGAAATACTTCCTCCGACTTCAAACTCTGGTTAGCATTTTCATCCTCTTTCTCTATTGAAGAAACAAGGAGATCTGAAAGATAATTCACTAGAAAATTATATTCAAGAAAGTTGATAGACATGTATCAATGCATTTTTCTAGTTTAAAAACCACCAATTATCCCAGTGTTTGAAAAAACTAAAAGAAAAATACCCTACAACAACTTCATTAAGAAAAAGTATCTTGCTCTCCTTAAGACTATTTTCACAGGTCACAGTGGTTTTAATCATTTCATCTCAAAAAAAAAGAAATGTACTAAGAATTCCTACTGTTCTTTAACTCAAATGAAAAAGAAGTCTGATTTTAAGAAGTCCGGTCCTACTAAGTCACAATCTGCCCACAAACTTCAGCTGAGGAAAAAAAGAAATTTTATTAATTATACTAGGAACTACCAATCTTACCACCACAAACATCCTGTAACATTTCAAAACAGACATATTTACATGTTCTTCAAACTCAGTTCAGAAGAAGAGATTCAGAAGAATTTAAGTTAAGATAAATTTACTTTAGGACTAATAAAAATAAATAATAAAATTTACCAATTTTCTAATAATCTAATAAAATTTACTTTTATCTAATGAAAAGATAAACTTAAGTTTTTTTTTAAAGCTTTTTAAGGTTTAGGCTTCTAGCACTGCTGGGTTCTGCATTTCCCATTCTAAAGGCGTTTTGGTACTCTGCACCCCCACCAAGCAGTGCCTTCCTCAGTCATTAGGGCATCCCCGTTGCCTGAAAACGCAAGTTCTAACACAAACAAGGAAACACCGGGAGGAGGAGAGAGCCGCGAAGGCTGCTGCTCGGGCGGGAGAGGCGGCGGGCTGCCCTGCCCCGCTCCGCTCCGCCCTCACCCGGTGCCGGGGCGGCCGCCGAGGCCGGGGGCGGCTCGCGGTGCCGGTACTGGCAGTGCGGCCGCCCGCAGCCGCCGCCCGCCGCGCCCTCGAAGGGGCAGAGGAAGGTGCGGAAGTATCCGACGGGGCGGAGCATCCCGCTGGATGCCTGCTGCGGGGCGGGTAACGCGCCGCTACCCGGGCGCCCCGGGCCCGCGGGCGCTATGGGGAGCGCGCGCGGCGCCGCCCCGTGCGCGGCGGCCAATGGGAGCGCAGCGGCGGCCGGGGCGCGGGGCGGCGGTTGGAGGCGGCGGTTGGAGCGGTTGGAGGCGCACCGTTAAAGGGCGGGCAGGCGGCGGCGTTGCCGTTGCTGGTGGGGACAGCGGCGCGAATAAGGCTCCCGCAGCCCCTACGGAGGAGCTGGGACCTGCGGAGGCGGCTGGTGGAAGCGGGTGAAGCCTTCCCACCTGCCTGGAATGGGAATCGTCATCTAAAGCAGAAGGAGTAGAAAGATACTGGAGTGAGGATAAAGTGGTTGGAACTTAAGTGGCGAGCCATGATGGCAATTGTAGGAACGATGGTAACAATATTGAGGACCGAGCATCAAACTGTGGGGGGTTGTGCTGTTCTGCCATTATGGAGCTCCGATGTGTTTCTCCATCTGGAGAGAGAATGTCCCAATGTGCATTGTAGAGAACAGGATGCAGAACTTGAAGTGTGAGAARGTGGTACCCGGTAAGTTTGTCAATGTCAGCGCAAGAAGTCTTATGTGCGTACCCACTGTATGAGGCCTGTGCATCCTGACACCATTCACTACTAAAAGAAGTCATCTCCAACCTGGTATTGACAGAGCCACTTTCYCACAATAGGGCCCACCAGGTACCAGGGTCACTGAACTGGACCCTAAACTCACATCCATTTACAGAACAGAGGAGGGCTAAATAGTGATATTGCTGGAAGTTTCCTAGGAGTGAAGTTAGAGTTTGCTGGGGACTGTTGAACCAGATCAAGGTGCCTWGCAAATGCCTGTCTAGTCCTGGGAACACCAGAAATTCAGAGCACTGAGGAGGYTCTGCAGGTTGTCCTTGAAGGAGGGAGTAGGTATCTACTTTACAAAAATACTGTAAAATATTTTCAGGGATATCGCTGGTACTGGCATGTGGGAAACAAGAAAATGTAATAGCCTTGAGGCAAGTAAGCAGAGGATATTGAATGGCATCCCAAGTAAAACAAGTTCAATCTTCTGAGTGGACTGAAAATTGAAAAACCATCTGTTTTAACATTCAAGACCTCCATGCACATGTAAGAATTTAGGTGGATGACATGGATTACCTCAGCAGTCATGGCAACAGCCAGATGGAGAGCAGAGGTGGAGTTTAAAACCTAGCAGTCAACAGTCAGGTGCTGAGAGCTTTTAGCCTTGTGTACAGACCATACAAASCTGTGAAAAGGGGAGTGCATATGGACAATTACTCCCTGCTCCTCAGAGCACAGTGATTTGCTTGAGGGCTTGCAGGTTTACAGGACATGGTAGGAGATTAACAGTATAGATCATAGGAGGTAGCAGCAGAGGTGCTTCTTGGACTACCCRGTGTAGTCACCATATATTTCCTTAAGCATCATGGAAAGCATGATGTCTAAGGAAGATCATACCTAGGATGTTTGAGTTCCCCAAGACTGCAGTTCCTCTGACTGTATGTCCCTTAGGGAAGGCACACCTGACTGTAGCTATGAACTGTTAAGACCCATGAATCCTATGGCTAACTCGTTTAAAGAGAAACTATTGAATAATAATAAAAGGCAACGTAATATTATCGTGACTCCAGCCAAAACAACAACCCAGGCAGCCATCCTGAATCAGCAATCTTGGGTTAATATCTAGACACACAATTCCACAGATATAAAGCAAACTTGCTTTCTTCAGGTGAGTGATTGGGAAAGTTCCAGATTCCCCAGCTGGATGAGTTCCTTTTATTTGCGTCATCATCAAAGCACTTTTGGGACTTATCAAGATCATTGTCACCGTCTTATAACCTTTTCAGTAATTGGGCGTGGGGGATCTTAGATGCATGGTAATGGTATAAGGCACTGCTAGCCTAGAATTTCATTACACTGATCAAAATTGTATCCCCTGTCTCTTTATTTGGAAGTAGTTAATGCCTGCCCACAAACATTTGTTTGTGTTCTAACCCTGAGTCATCTCATCTCAAAAGGTAAAGCTCATTCTCACTCTTCAATAAATTTCAAGTTACATATTTTCAGCGACTCACAAACACCATTTTTAAAAATATAGTTTAAAGCATTTTTTTTATACCATCAGCATCTGAATTTGAACTCTAATCAGTTTTTGCCATAGTCAGTGAGTTTATATTTAAATTTGGTCTGCATTTAAGGCTTTATATGAGGGAGTGCTGCTGTGAGTTGATTCAGCAGAAATGGATGATACATCATCCATTGAATTTATGAAGGGTAAAGTTTTTGGCTTTGAGCTGTCAGAGTGGGAGCCATTCCATACATCTGATGCTGTTGTCTCACTCCTGACTTTGCTTTCTGCAGTTCTAGAAACTGAAGAATGAGAAACTCTCTTCAAAGAGCAAAAGAAGGATGGAAAAGCTGTTCTCTGTTTTTCAGGTGAGCTTCTTTGTGTATTAGAAGAATGCCTAAAACACAAGACAAAAATCATATTATTTTAACCTCGGAAATCCCATGTAATCTTAATAGTTCTCATCTGGGGGCACATAGGAAGTTACTACATTTTCATTTTTCAGGATTTGAACTGACAAGTATATGACATTTTATAAGGAACTTTGTTTTTTCTGTGCATCAACACTGGGAAATAGTGTTTTGTGACTTTTAATAATTTACCTTTTAAATTTAATTTGGCAGGGAAAAGCATTCACTCTACAACCTTCTAAAACTTCTATCACATTTTTGCAAGGTATTTATACCACATTTGGCATAGCAGCCTTCCTTTAATACCTTCAAACCTACAGTTCTCAAGATTGTTTTATTTATATGGGTTTTTTTAACTATCAAGGAACACACAAAATAGTAATTTGTGGTTGTGTATAGAACCTGAAGCCTATTGTTGCATCTGCCTTCAGCTCAAAGGTGAACTAAAAAGTGTGAATTCCAGGGGTATGGTACATGATTGGAAATACTTACACTTTTTGTCTTCTGTGCTTGTAGAAAGTCACACCACAACATACTATCATTATTAAGGAAAAGGCGAGAGTTAYGGATGACACGGCAAGTGTGACATTGACTGTAAAATCTTCTTGGCTTGTTTCTTGAGGCATTTTCCTTTTAAGTAAATCATTCTTGTCTGACACTACAAAAATAAAGCAGACCACATCAACTGTATTCAGACAGGTAATGTCTTATGGATGTACACAGAAAAGGATTATACCTGTGCAAATTTCCAATTCAAATTAGCATTTCTTAATAAAAGGTCTAGTTTAGCCAAAACAGGCTTTTTTATTTGTCCATAAATTAATGCAAAATAAATCTGCAATTGCTCTAATAGCTACACTTGATGTCATCATTTTGTTGCTTGTGATGTTTGTAAGAAGGAATGAAACTTAAACCTGTTTCCAGTGAGCTAATTATTTCTRTCTTTAACATTTTTTATTGTCTTTTACAGGTATCTTTTTTTCTTAGTTTTGGGTCTTAAACCTCCTCAGTTCCTCCTGGTTTGTGTTCGTTCTCTTGAATGTAGTTTATTCTGAAAAGCGGTACCAATCAGATGAACTTTGCTGTTCTTACTTAACTGTTGCTTTCAGAGATATGCTRTAATGATTATTCATATCTTTGGCTCTTAACATGAAAAAGCATAATAAATAGTAATACTCTAGTATTATGTAAATAAAACACTGAATTTAAGCAGTAATACCTTCTATGGTCCTATATAGAAATTGACTAAAAAAGAAATCACTTAGAAAAATTTATTTTCATACAATTTACTTTATATAAGTATCTTTTATCTTATTTAATCTTTTATTTTATTTATATGAGTATCTTTAAAATTATCTTTTATTTACTTTATATAAGTATCTTTACTTATTAGCCCTTTGTTAAAAAAAAAATGAGATTGGTATATATTTCTAATTACTCAGAAATAGGCAAGATAAATTATTTTGCCAGATTTGAAAAGTATATATATTAATGAATCAGTACAGATCAAGAACACGCCAAATTCTAACAGTACTCTCACTTAGGTTACTGAAACTTCAAACAAATATTTGTGGGCGAAGTTAACAGTTGCAATACTAGTAGAAGGTAACGGAAGGGATAAAATAAATATATATAAACTTCAGAAAGTTGAAGGTTTTGGAGTAGGTGCATGTCACCAATCTTAAAGTACCTATTTTCATGACTTTTCCACAGCATGCTGTATGGCCTGGGATATGTCTTATCCTCTCTGGGCTTCTGTTCATCTCCCTGCTAATTAGTGCATGTTTCAAGAATGGGACTTTCCTATTGATTTCCTGTTGTTTCATAATTCTCAGATAAAACACTAGGTCAAAGTTCCCTTGAACTCAAGTTTCTCTTTCATTTTGAATTTGAACATGAACTACAGAACAGATCTTCATCTGTTTATAATATTGAGTTTGTAACATTTAAGTTTTCTTAAACTTCTTTTTTTTTTTCCTATACCATACCATCCTGAGATTTTTCTTTACTGAAGCTTTGTCTGAGAACGTTAAGATAATGGGGTCCAAATCTCGATTCTGTGAGAAAAACAAATGGGAAGAGTTATTGTCATACCTATATTTTCTTATCAGAGAATGTTACTTCTTTGATAGAGCAGTGAAAGAGAAAGTTTAATATCTGAATTGAAAGAAAAGGATAGGAAGAGTGCRTAGGAAATATGCTATCAAAAGCTGAAGAGACAGAAAAATTACAAAGTAAAATTTCCTAGAAGACATTATTAGAAAATGCTAGGGCCACTTTCTTTACTACAACAGCAACAAAACCTATTTTTTTCCTCTTGAATTTCGCACTGCTGCATTTCTTAAAAATTTGAGACCTTGAAATTGCTCTGTTACAAACTTAGCAAGTACCTTGCCTGGAGTTTAGTGAAACGGAGAAAATCATGTCAGATTAGGTGTTTTTAAACATTACACTAAAGTACTAGAAACTACAATGAAAAATAAT